TACCCCTACCATACCATACCATACCCATACACAACTTGGCCACCACACACACACACACAACTCACACACCTTGGACACTGGCCACACATTTGACCACACGATAAACCAACAAAACTGCGTCTTTGGTTTTTATTTAATTACAACCCAGATTTGACTACAGCGGATCAAGGTCACCGTATTCCTCATATAATTCGAAATCATCGCCCAGTTTTCTCATAATCTATTCAACTTTCAACCTGTCCCCCAAACAAAGGAACATAACCATATAATTTGGTAAAGCCCAAAACCGGCCTCGGTGTCCCGCTGTTCTAAGCCGGCGCCAGACGGTGCAAGGCTCTGCCATTGTAAAAAATTTAAAAAAAAAATAAACCCCCCCCAAGAAAAATCTCCCCTCAATCTTCTTGTTTTTCTATTCTCGGATATCGCATCATACAGGCGTTGGAACAAATATTCAAATTTGGAGTCAAAAGGGCATATACATATACCACGGCAGCGGCTTTTTACTTTTATTATATCCCGAGCAATTTCAATTATTTCAGATTTCAGATTTCAGACTTCAGCTCTCAAACTTTTATTTCTTCGACTCGATACCCTCGACTCAGCAATCTGACTGGATTGCATACAATTAAGAACTCTATTCATCTTGAGGCGTGGTTCTTCCTCATCTTGTTTGTCAGGGACGACTCATTGACCGTCGTCCAACTTTACTCTTCCTCTTACTCAAACTCAATCAATTATCTCTTAAGCTCGACCCATCTCTCTTCAACATGATTATCGACGGAGAAAAGTGGGCTTGTGATGCTTGCGTCAGAGGTCATCGTGTTAGCAATTGTCACCACTCAGACAGACCTCTGCAACATATCAATAAAAAGGTACACCAATTGTACTTTGTCGTGCCAATCTTGCTAATGAAAACTGGTTTAGGGTCGTCCTGTCTCACAATGTACTCATTGTCGATCAATGCGCAAATCGAGAGCAGCACACGTCCGATGCGAATGCGGTTCGGAAAAAGCACATTCGAAAGGATCCTGTCCGGAAAATGGAGATACGCAGGGTGAGCTTTTACGGGAGGCCTCTAGCATGGCGATCCCATTTTCTGACATACTTGTAACAGATACCTGTTGTTGCAGCCATGGTGCCCGATGCACATGCGCTTTAAAAAGTGATCACCTCGCTCCTGTACCCGAGTCCGACTCTGATGAAACCCCTTCGTTGTCGATACCAGTATCCAAACCAAGACGACCTCGTGCGCACACTGCCCAATCGGAAAACAATTTAACAATATTTACGAATGGTCACCACAAGCCTGTACATAAGAATAACAACATGGCTCATAAATGCGGCCTACCATACACTGTCCCTCGAGCACACTCAATTCATGGCCAATCGTCATCGAGTCTCGCCAATAGGTCTGTCGATAACCTACCACACACCAGCACCGTCGATGCTTTACACAGTGAATCCCATATTAAAGACTCTATAGTGAGTGCTCAACAGGAACAGCGAATGGTCAAGTCCGAACATGCATCGCCACTCGTTAGTCCTATGTCGAATTTTCAGCAAATGAATGGTCAACTGCCGCCTTTGGACTTAACAAATATGCCCGCAGAATTCAATAACTTGTACCAATTTGATGCATATGGAGGGGCGATTTCGGATCTCGAACAACCTATCTTCTCTGCCGGAATCAGTTCCGCTTCCATTGATTGGTCTCATTATGATGGATTAGATTTCAACAATAACAATGACAATTTCGCAGCCTCCTCCTACAGCCAAGCAGCATCATTTAATGGATTTGATTTTTCTAGTATCGATCAACCAGCATTAACAAGTACATCAACCTCCGGCGAACAATCCGAAGTGGAGGATTTTATTGGCGTTTCGGATACTTCTAGGCCAGCATTGATGAACAATCAGTACGGATCTGATCTCGATACATCGGAATTTGGCGGGGAAATCGATAGATACAGATTAAGTACGGCGTCATCTTATATCGATATATCACAAATGCAGATGCTTGCCAGCAATGATGTCGAAACTCTTGGACTCGAGGAATTCATGAAAGGAAGCCCTAGTGGATATTTACCTATATCACCTCCAAATCACGGTCTACCTATGACAACATATTCAACCGAGATTAAGAATAATCAGCCATTACCGTTCGATGAAAATAATTCTTTCCTGCCTATAACAGCAGAAGATACGGAAGCTTTTTGGATGCCCGATTTTACGGCCGCAAATAACATCACAATCAACAATGAGAATGGAAGACATGAGGAGAATCTCTGGGGACAATAACACCAGTGGAAAGGCAAATGGCCTCTGTGCGAATTTTTGATCTCTGGATATCGATACGGATGACTTACGATGATCCCTTTTCCCTAAAGTTCCAATACAGACTGGCGGCAATAGCATTTGGCACACGAAGTGCAGCATTTCCAGGTAGCATTATATTTTATAGACTTCTCTTGTGAATAGCGACAAATGACTTACATGAACCAAAATATCATTGTGCATCTTGTGGTATGCACTTGATATAATGTAGCCGACTATAGTGACATGGCGTTGATATGTTTTTTCCATTCATAAATTAATGATTCAGATGTCACACCCCAATGTTACATAAACATGTGTCGTCAAAACAGTTTCGCCGAAGTAATGATATGACAAATGCCGTAACTTGCGTCATTCGGCCTGAATATGCTTCAGGGAATGTCATCATAAACAGGACAATTGACCTGCTGATAGATTAGATCTTGGGATTACTGTGTGTGACCCCACCGCATCGGATTCGTATTCTAAAAGCACGAGGAGGGTGGTAGAGAAAACATTGACATTGCCAACGGTGGCATCCCAATCTCAAATTCCATCGGACACGATCGAGATATCGAAAGGAGTTGTGACGACTGAGTTCGATATTGAAAAGTTTATTAAAGATTGATCAAGTGGTGATTTAGATCCGAGGTGAGATTGGTGTGATTCGAGCAGTCATTCGCATGCTGGTCGGGATGCATGGACGATTCAAAGGATACCTAGGCAGATAGGGCAGACCCCCTACTAGAGGCGGAGGAATGGGATAAATATCTTCCAGTCGTCGTAGGAGATCTCGGTCTTCTAAAACATTTGACCGAGCCAGCGCAACTCCCCCTCCTTTCTGCGCAGTAGGCGAAAGAGAAAATAAATGGAGAAGGGAGAAGAGTTGAATAAAGGTCCTGCTTGCCAAGAAACACGTCCCTATTAATATTGAAGGGGTCACACCTTGGATCACAATACGGTACTGCTACCCCGCCGGAAAAGGCTGATGGCTGAATTGAACGTTACATCGGGGGAGAGAATATGAGCACAAGTTGCATTCACAGGATTTACGTCGCATGATGAGATTAGGAGGATCTCAATGGGCGCAGGCTCGAACGGAACAATAGGCCTCCTTCTTCCGGCACCATCAGGCTTCTTCTGGGAGAGGGAAGCTGGGAAGCTGGGAAGTGGTGGAATTGGAAATATCTTCAGGAATGGATACGGTGGTTTGGGATGTTTAGGCTGGAGAGGCGCATGAGGTCGCCATGCAAGTGATCAAATATGTGCCGATTTCATGGGTTGCTGTTTTTGTGGAGGTTGGAGGGTTATCCTTACCGTATGTATGCGTGCGCTCGTCTCCAGAAAAGATTGAGGTGGAATTAGCAGGGCGGTGGATGATAGATCCAATGAGCAGGAGAGGCGAGCAGTACGAGGTTATCATCCCCAACACTTCTGCAAGGGCTCCCGAAAGCTTACATGGAGGCTGGTAGATGTGGCCGATGGTGGATTGATTTGATTGTATTGTATTGTATTGTATTGTATTGTACTGTGAACAGATTCATGAGTTCCCATTCCATTCACACCCTCACATAATCCTCCGAGGTGGTCAACAACCCGGCCGTGTTCCATGTCCTTTATCCTTAACCTTTTTTTTTCTTACACCCTGCCCTGCTTCCCCACATTTCCACATTTGTACGGGAGCTTCCCCTTCTCCACGGCTTGGGGGATCACCAGCCGAGGAAGCTTCTTTCAATCATGATTGTGATTATGAATATGAACATGATCATGACCATTACCTACATATTCATAAATTACGAGTGAGAAGGAAGAAAAGAATTCCTTGATACAACTGCAACCACAAATCACCACATTATAGAATCAAAACCTTGAAGGGATTTAAAGTCGGCTCAACACGGTGCGGTAGGTACATAGGATCAGAGAGTTGATCGGGTTAACAATAGTTGAAAAAGCTAATGAATGAATGAATGATAGGTCTTCTAATTCTCCGAAAGCTTTTGGGTGATGTAGTACGAACAAGGAATTGTGAAACAAACATCTCGAATTGCATCGTTCACGGAAGGGAGGGAAGAAAGCGAGAGGAAATAGAGAAGAGACGAAACAATTTGAAGATAACTGAGTGATACTATCTGTCTGATACTCTGATACTCTGATATCATTCTCGAAATCATTCGATATTTTGAGAGAGACAGAGAGAGACCAATCAATCCTCGGGCTATAGGATCCATCCGTCGTTTATTTTACCTTCTGCCGCTGTCTGTTTCATCATTTGAAGCCGACTTCCTATTCTTCCTCCAAGGGTTTGTCCGAAAGTTCCGATTCATTGGATTCATTGGATTCAATCTTTGGTTCAATATTGCTACTTCACCTACTATAAAAAGGTTGATTCTGGTGCACTTCGGGCTTTTGACTGTACCGTCAGCTAACCAAGATTGGACGTCGAGCATCGGAGGTTATTATCACCGAGGTATGTATGTACTCCGTAAGAGTTTCCACCTTGATGAATTCTTAGTGTCCTTCCTCTTGTTTCATTTTATTGGATATTCTATTCCTAATCCACAAAGCTAATCAATCCACCACAAAGCTTTAACGGACCTGGTTACCGAACCGATTCAAACTTATTTCTAACTTTGTACAGCCAGCTTCTCGGACAACAGTTCTTCCATACCGAAAATTTCCATATTCATCATATCATCCAAAACGACAATTCTACAACTTCCGATTGTTGTACAGTGAGCATCTCATTGTTTACTGTACTGCAAATTAATTATTCAGAGTCGCATATATCTTCTCCTTTGGCCACCCTTTCAAGTAAGCTCATTGCAGGCATATTCATTGTTTGGGAATGTCGCAAATATAATCAATTTGCGACAGTTAGGCATGGAAATGCTTCAGGTCGAGAACCTCAACTAACATTTTTTTTCCATTAGAAAATTAAGAAAAGTTCTCCCTTCTTGCGCTGATGAAGATAAAGCGAAAAGATGAATCATAACGACGCACCAAATATGCAATCCTACCCATCTCCTAACGCGACTGCTGCTGACAGTGGTGGTGGACCTTTCTATGGACCAACTTCCTCAAATCAACATCAACACCAACATCAACAACCTCTACCTACTCCCGATGAACTGCAACTTGCAGAACAATTATCTGCCGATGCTCAATTATCCCGTAGCATGCAACCAAATATGGGAGCAAATCGTGGAATGAGCGAAAATCCAGATCCTCGAGGTCAAGGAAATGTCAACTTGAACCATCAATATCAGCCAGATCATCAAATGCATGGAGGTCATACACCTATGAATCATGGACTTATAGATGTTGGACCTCAATTTGATGAAGAATCTATATCTCCAGCTGGAAGGAAGAGATCAAAGGTCTCAAGAGCTTGTGATGAGTGTCGGAGGAAGAAAATCAGATGCAATGCCAATGAACCAGGAAATGAAGACATATGCTCAAATTGTAAAAGAGTAGGTGTTAATTGTCAATTCAGCAGACAACCTATGAAACGTGGACCAAGCAAGGGGTAAGAATATTATAAGAAGCAATCATGATTAAGAAAACTCACTAACAAAGTGATAGCTACATCAAAGAGCTTGCTGATCGAATAAATACATTGGAGGGTCAAGTACAAGGAACTGAGATGCCTCAATACTCTCATACACAAGAGATTTTACAGAGAAGACCTTCCGAAGAGTTTTCTCCGACTCCGAATCCTGATCAGATTCCCCGCAAGCGTGGTTATTCTTCAATTTCCGGCTCCGGCGAATTTGTTTCTCCGTATCAACAACAGAGTATGCCTCCTAATTGGATTCCTCAAGAACAACAATCGCGATCTTCTATTCCGAATTCATCATATCCTGCACGATTGCCTGGTTCTACCCAGCTACCTACTAGAGAGCAGAACTACTCGCCAAATTTAATGGTATCTCAGCAGAAGTGGGTGGACGCACCTGATGTGGGTGGCTCTGGCGAAGCAGTCAATCACACCTCTCAATCTCATAACGAAGATGCTGTGGAATGGATTGATGATTCTCTTCTTGAGAGGTATGCAGTTTCTAAAGCCATAATATGCACACTTACTAATAATTCTCAGTTATTACAAGTTCATACACCCAACTTATCCAATGCTATCCCTTACCAAGGCTAGGTTAAATGCTAGACTTTCTGCTTGTTCTGCTCCAGTCAGATATGCTTTTTGGGAGGCTTTATATGCGGCAGTCAGATCATTTCCCACTGCCATTCCTCTTAAACCACAGGGTATTACACATGCAGTCAGACTCATACACACTGCCCCATATGATACGCAAACTACCCGTTCTCTTTCTACGAATATCGTATATCTTCAAATTATGATGTTATTAGCAATTGAAGCCAACAATCAACCACGAGAAATTCAAGACGGTGAAATAATTCAATCTCCTTCTGTTTGGTTGGGTACCGCTGTTGGTTACGCTTATTCTTTAAGATTACACGCACACAAACCAATTGACAAATCAAACAATGATCCAGATTCTGATGATAAGCATGTGCGACGTGTTTGGTTTAGTTTGGTCATCATGGAGAGATGGAATGCTGCAGTTACAGCTTGTCCATTACAAATTCCTGATTCAGTAGCACAAATTTATCCTGATGATCGAGCTCTATTAGGAGAGGTTGCATACCATTTAGTTCGTAAGTTTAATTCTTTCGTCATACATGCTCAACTCTTACTAATTTTTTAGGTGTCGCCGTTGTTATTGGAAATTACCTGGAAGTAAAACTTGCCTCGACTGATTTACCTCCACTCTCGGTTCACCGTGGACTTCACGCTCGGCTTCTCAAAACCCAACTCGAATTATTACGTCATGATCTCAGTACTTCCGGTATCACCCCTCTCGACTCTCCTGTACTTCATATAGGTTACTGGTGTGCTTATCTCCTCATTGTACTCCTTCATACGCCACAAGAAGATTTCGATGAACAAATGAGAGCCACTCACTACATCATTAGTCAGCTTTCCTTCAATACCGATATGAGATCTCCATTGGTACATTACTACAAATGTTTCGCAGCCCTTGCACTTCCGAACCTCCTTCAATTTGAAGCCACAAAGAAGGATGCAGAAGCTTCATTAAAACTTTTTCTTGAAGGTCGTCTAGCTGCCTCTTCTTGGGATAATTCAATTAGAGAATTCTTAATCAATAGTTTAGGAACTCAAAGAAGATTATCAACGAGTCAGGTTCAAGGTCAAAGCCAAGGTCAAGGAACACAACAAACCACGATTACTAGTACAAATTCAAAATCAGATGATAATCAACATATGATCACGGCAGCAAATCAAGGTCTTCAACGTCTTGCGGATTTAGCAACGGCTTCTACGGAGGATAGAGTTGAAGTTGGAGTTTCAACGACGGATGCGGGAGTAAGAAATGATAAGGATGGAACTTTTTCAAGTGCTGGCTTGACTAAAGTCTAGGTGGGTGCGAAGAGTATATAGCTCTAAATTATTGTGTATGCGTTGGGGAGATGGCGCTTTCTTGATATGGAATGGAGTCATTTGGATGGATGGATGGTATGGAATGGCAAGGTGGTGTTTTTGAATCGTTTTTTTTTTCCATATGTATTCTACAAAGTTTGGTTGTTTGATGTATACCCCCTTTTGATTTTTTTTTTCGCGCGATATCATGGAAAGGAGGGAAGGGAGGAGTGGCGAGGAGGGCAAAATTGGAGGATAGGCTGACTGGATGTGGTTGGCGAGGGATGTGTCCATCAAGAGAAGAAAAATGCATGTATAGGCGTTTCTTTGAGATCTCATGGTTTGCGGAGTTGTGGAGTTGGTGGTATAGGTATAAGTCTGGTTTTGGAATAGGGATCGGAAGTGAGTTTGAATTTCAATTTGGGTCTTTGGATAGTATCGAGTATCCCGAGAGAGGGAGGGAGAGAGGGGGTGTGACAGAGAGAGAGAGATGGGGAGGGGAAATATAGTACGAGATGAGATGAAGAAGAGGAAAGTTGAGGAGGAAAAAGGGGAAATATAGTACGAGATGAGATGAAGAAGAGGAAAGTTGAGGAGGAAAAAGGAAAAATAACATGGGTTTGAGAGATGTGGAGGAAAAATGAGCCGGAGAGAGGGGAAGAGGGATGAGAGATGAGGGATGATAAGATATAGTAGATGTAATATGCAAATATATTATATTAATATGATATATCTACTCTATATACTCTATGTATCTAGTTTGTTGTAAAGTTATTAATTAGATTTTGGGTATGGGTTGATTTTGTAATTATGGTATATGTAATATGAATGTGAGTATGTTATATTGGGACGGGGTCTTGAGATTACGGTGTATGCTGGTGATTGTAGGTTGATGGGCGAGAGTTGTGTATTTGGTTGGTTGCTTGGTAGTGTGATGATGAATGTAATTGGCATTATGATAGATAATTAGTGAGTGTGAGTGATGAGTGTGAGTGTGATTAGAAAGTTAATTGAAGAGGAGGAATGATAGAAAATCTTAATTAATGATGAAATCCCCCGAGAAAAATTCTTGAGTTTAGGGAGAGGAAGAGGAAAGGGAAAGGGAAAATGAAAGGAAGGAAATTGAAGATGTGAGAGAGGAAGGGAGTGATGATCGGAATGAGGAGATGGGAGAAGAGAAGGGAAAGGGAAAGGGAAGTTATATATTAATATGGAGTAATGGATTCTTGAATATAATTATGTGCTGTTATTGAGGTATAAGTGATAAGGTGATAAGTTAATAAATTAATAAGTTAAGAAGAAAAGAAATAAAGAATATGGAAGAATTGATATATGGATAAATGTAAGATTGTATATGCAATCGAATATGAGTAAACTTTTATTCTGATATATCAATCAATCAATCAGCTACACTACAACCATAGCATAGCATAACCTCTCATATTCATTTCGCTTGTACGCATCAACATGGACACATCAACCTCTAACCTTCAACCTTTAACCTTCAGCCTAAAACCGAATCTTAAACCCCTACCCTCCCCAACCCAATCCTCCCCTCCTAACCAAATCACCCCCCTAAAACCCCTAACAACCCACCCCCTCACCAACCCCCAACTCCACCGCCGCAATCAACAACTCCATATACCCGGCCCCAATCTCCTGCAAATTAAAATTATGCTGCGCCAGCGTCGGATAAAACGGACACCCAGCCGCCGCATTCCCAAACCCAAACTCAATCGTATACCCATGAATCAAATTCTTCGAGTTATCCACAAAATGTCTCGAATAGGAATAATCATCACTAGCACCACTAGTAGGATAAAGATTCGCCGCTGGAAAAACAGAATAAGTTCTCCCCGCAGCACCACTCATCCCAGCACCGATTTTACTCGCGGCGGCTTTGTTGGCGCCGTTTTCAGAACTGGGTGTGTATTCCCCGTAGCCGCTGCCGGATCCGGGTGTATCGGATAAGATGCCCCGCACGGAGTTGTAGGCGCTGTTGAGGAAATTCATAGAGGGGTAGCTGGCTTGATTTGTGTCGCTGCCCCAGGAGTAGAGGATGTCGCCGGCGTAGGAGTGGAGGTCTACGAACCATCGGATTTTGCTGTAGGTGTCCATTACCCATTTTATGCTTTGCGTTTCGGGTTCGGAGAAGGCGGCCGTGCCTATAGGGGGAGGGGAGTTTAGTGGGAATGGTTTAAATGGTAAAACAAAAGTAGAGGATGAGGGTGAATGTACGTACCGTGGAATACCTCGGATGAAGGACTAGTAGATGCAACCTGGGATCGAACACTTGAAGCCCATTTTGTTAAATCCCATAGAAAGTCAAAATTTCGATTCAAATCCACACCAGTCGAAGATCCCGTTCCCGATTTTGGGTTTCGGTTCTTGCGCCAACAGCTATTAGTCGATTGATCATAAGCTACACCATCCGGATTACTGAGAGGAATAAAAACAATTCCAGTTGAGAGCGCCGTCTTCACCTGAGCATTGGTGTAAGATTTTGAGCCATATTTCAACCCGAGACCATTTTTGTTTGCGTACAAAAGATCTCCAATGAAGAATAATAATCCATCTGAAGCACCTCGCTCTCTCGCATGAATGGCTGCATTCAAATACACGCTAATGGCATCATTACACGTTCCATTACCTCCAACCTTGGCACCAGTAATAGAAAGCTCCATTGTAAGCTGTATAAAGGTGTATGAAAAGTAGTGATCCCATACACACTCGCGAGACCCTTTAATACCACTGCAATCTCATTGACATTTCAAAAGTGTAGTGAATGTAGTTGTTTGAGAACCGAACACCTCGTGGTGCAAGGGTACCAGCGCTATAGCGATCACCGGTTCCGATAGGAATACCGTTGCTAGTTTGTCGACGCACTATTCGTGGTTTGCCTTCTCGTTCTTCGGGGAGAAGACATGCTTGTGAAAATGTAGGGGCGAGTATTCCAATGTAGTACAAAATTGTGAATTTCATGATGACGGTGTTGATTGGGAGGAACTGATCAGGAAGACTGGGAACTCATGATGTTCACATATATTTATATATATGTGAACACATCATGGCATCCAGATTCACTATTCCCCTCACACCAGTCACACCCCTCACAGCGCTCCAAAAACCGATCTCCCACTGGCCACTTGATCACAAAAAGATATGCAGATGAGAGTTCTTCCAGAGACAGTCTCCCATTTAGTCACAAATACCTAGGTAGGCATGTGAATAAAAGTTCCTCACGATTGTAAACCGCTTGGCAAGCTTGGCCACCTTGGCTATATATATATATTCACAGTACCTTCTTTATCGAGAAGTGCTTTCTGTACTTGAATATTCTATCCTTCATGGGAATTAGGAAGGTTAAGAATAGATGACAGCTCAGCATTCGCTAGGTAGTAAAAGCCACCTGAAATTCCGCAACACAAACGCCAGAATACCCAGGAAATACCAAGCCTGACATTTGAAAACTTGGAATTTCTAGTAATGATTAGGTATTCACTAGTAAAAGAAATTGATAGCAGATAGGATACGATACGATAGCAGATATGCAAAGTTAAAGCACGGCGTACAAAGTACAAAGTACGAAGTACCAAGCCCGGTATCTAGGAAGTTGTGAATGTCGATAAGGTTGGGACCTTCCATATTTGGTTGGTGCGATGGTGCGCCAATAATGAATGGATAATAGGTGGGAATGAAGGGTGAGGTTTGAATGCCATCTTCTGAATCATGTGTTGTATTTGCTAGATTTTTTGTATCTTCGTTTTATAGTGGGATGTGTAGGATTAATTAGTCTTAATTGTTTTCATTTGAAGCTTGAACTGAGTGATAAGATAAGATAAGATTTAACAATTATATTTCCTAAGATTACAAGTGAAAATAAATGTTTTTGTTGTTTGAGGCACGTGTGCATACTACCTTCCTAAGCGACGGCCAAGTAAGAATAGATCTCGAGTCCTCCGATCTTTTATTTTATATACAAAATCTCTTCATCACTTGCATAATATTTATAAACAATAACCTAATAATTCTATACATTTCGAAGAATTAAACTCATTTACAATTACAGGTCACTGACTGCATTGCCATGTTCAGAAAGCACCACTTATAATCTCTCCTTTAATTAGCTGATTAAAGACTAGGTATTTCATACCTCTACAACCTTTCCCCAACCGTAACTTACCTTTTTCCAAAATTATCTATATCAACTATTATCTATAGTATTATTTCCTCTTCTATCCCCTTCTAGCCCCGCCTATTCATTCTTATCCCTTTCTACTCCCTCTTATCCCGTCACCCCTCCTCCACTCTCTCCCTCTTCCATCATGACCACCACATCATCACATAACATCACATCATCCACATCCCCAAAATAATCCTAAATTACCGCAAAGCAACAATAATCATAAATAATCACAAATAATACTCACAAATACTCATAAAATAAAATAAAACAATATAATATGAAATTCCCCATCAAATATCCATCTCTTTTCTATCTCTCTCTCTTCTATCTTCTCTCATATCTATCACTATCGCTATTCGCTATTGAGTACATTACGCTACCTATCTATCATACTAATTACAACTATCAACACAGGTACTCCTCCCATCTAGTGATTTCTTGTTCTGTAATACTTCTAACCCTAACGCTGATGTTGATGCTGATGCTGACGTTGATGCTCATGGACTTAAACCTGACATCTCAAATTACACCAACCCAATCCATCTCATCTCATCTAATCCCTCGCATCCCTTCTAAGCCCCTGAAATGAATAACTCCAAATTCCAAGTATCTTTTAGTTCATTTCCCTATCCCGATTTTCCTGCCCCGAAAACATCTCACTCTCCCCCCGCGCCTCCGTCCCCAAAGCCGAAAGTCTCGGACTAACACCATTAGAACCACTAGCTCCATCCACAGCCAATGCATTCCCCTCCTCCTCCTCATCCTCCGCCTCCTCTCGCTTAGCAACCCCTTTCCCCTTATTCCCCCCATTATATGAACCTAGCACGCCCAAACCCCCGGGACCATCCATCCCATCCCCATCCAACCTCTCCTCCACACTCTCAACCGAAGAATTATAAACCGCAAAATGATCTCCTACACTCAAATGACCATTTTCATTTTCATTTTCGTTTTCATTTCCATTCTCCAATGCAATCCTCTCTTCATTATCCTCTCCTATCTTCACCAATACATACGCTTCTAATTCATCATTATACTGATATTCGTAGCCCTCCGGGGCTCCGCTTCGATCACTAAGTAGTGATTCCGTACTGGCGTTAACATCTCTCCCCAGTTTCCCATTTCGTGCATTCCTCTCCCTGACACCATCTTTCATAACCCCATCTACACCCTCCCCACCCATGCGCATGGCAAAGGGGAAAGCTATACCTTGTGCCGTGGGTCTCCTCAATTCTTCTCCATTGCTACCATATCTCTCAACACCCTCATCATTATCCCTTCCTATCAGCGGACTATCTTTTATTATTTCCGGTATATTTAATTGCATTCCCCCTTCGTTTATTTCATGGGCGGGAGATCCTGGCGCCGAGGAATGATTGACATCCGTAACCTTGACATTTTTCTTTGCCATCAAATAATGCTCCTCATCCCTCATTTTCTTTTGCATAGCAGAATATTCCGCCATCGTATTCTCATCATTTCCCTCAACAGCCTTCTCTTTCCCATTACCCGTACGCGTCCCACTCGACTCACTAGTCCCAGTCGAGTTCTCAACGCGATTCCCGAGGTGCGTATTTTCAGTGTTAGTCGTCTCTATACCATGTAAATCCCTGCCTCCTGCACCATGTTCCGCTCTTGCAGTCGTAGTCTCGACATTTTTACCCACTTTTTCCGCTTCTGCTTCGCGATCCATGGTAAGTTTATCATGCTTACTACCCCAGCCGCTCCACATTGACATTCCCCAACTCTTCTTCACCTTGCCTCCTTTCTCTTCCTTCACATCAACACCAGCCAATCTACGCCCGACTAGTGCACTAGGAGGTGGTTCTTCACCTGACGGTCCGTATTTTTCATATCCCCTTTCCCTTTCCTTTGCCCTCTTTTCCTGCACCCTTCGCTTATCCTTGGCGAATTTTGTGTCCCAATTAGTTTTCGTAGCCATCCATTTTTTGACCGGTCCCGGTTTGATAACACCAATTTCATCAGGTGACATATTACAAGCCGCCAGTTCGGAAGCTGGGGCGAGAGGGAAAATGTTGCCGTGGCGATCGACACGCTGACGTATCATATGATCTTTAAATGGAGGAAGGGGATCGCCTGCTTTCCCTATTTGTTCTTTAGGTTCACTGGGAGTTTGCTAAGTTTCATTAGCCCGGTTTATTTAACATGAACAGACTTATATCCAAAAATACCTTTTGAGCATCCTCACCCGATTCTGAAGATCTCGAGATAACCGAAACATCATCATCATCCAAAATTTCAATTTCCGTCTGCTGAGCCTTAGCTAAAGCCCAAGCTCCAAATTGTGCTATGGAGCGATACATATATTTCGCTGGACGAGTGAAACTTAATGTTGGTGGAACGTGACATAGATCATCCCAAACTTGTAATTGTACGTCTGTTGGTTTCCATGCCTCGACTTCGGCCCGAGGATCTTCACGTACAGCATATGTATCGAGAAACACATTTCCAGGAGGGTATTGAGTTGGATTTGCAGCTTTGTGTGCGACGTATATCTGTTCATCTCGTAACATCTCGCCACCGCCTGTGAGGACGAGTAGTGGTGGAAGACCACCAAGTGACGGTTGGAGGGCAGGAGAAACCAGAGGATGAGATATTAATTGATTCGTCGCATACATTTGAATTTGATCCTTGATCACAACTAGCTCTCCATCAATCATGATTGAAAGATCACCACCAAATCCAGGCACTGTATTTGCTTGTGGCCCTGAATCATCAGATGAAGGTCCAGCAGCAGCTGTGTTATTATGTGTCCCTGGTGGTGGATGTTTATCCACTCTCAATCCTTGAGCAGCATCTACTTCCGACTGTGTCATGTCGTTTTTATTCTCAGTGAAATCATGCATTCCCCTCTCTATAGCCAGCAAATCATCAGAATTTGGAGGTGGCCAGGCAGTAGATGGTCGGTGATGAAATCCATGTGCTGGGATATAATCCAAAGGATTATCTGCAGCAACACTAGGAAAAGAATGAGTCAAATCAACCCATGGTGAAATGAGAATAGCACCCGCGGGCAGGGGTTTCTTTAAATCGCGCAGAATCACGAGCAAGCTCAAAATCATTCCACCACCGGCCGAATCTCCTGCGAAAATAATACTTGTCGGATCATATTCTTCAAGGAGAAAGAGATATGCCGCTAAGCAATCGAGCAGGCCGCATGGAAATGGAAATTGGGGCGCCAAACGATACCGAGGCGCAAAAACTCTTGCCTTCAATTTCCTTGCATGTCTTTGCATTTGATACCTATGCTCATCTGTACTCCCAAAAAAGTATGCTCCCCCATGAACATATAACATAATCCTTTTACTCTTTCCTCCATTTTTAATCCTCTCCTGGTGATCCACCCTCATCTCTATCCATTCAGCCTTAAGTTCACTCCCCGGCTGTCTCCATGCCCACCAATCTTTCCCTCCTACTTTTTGAATCCCTCCGTAATTGGAAAAGTGTAATGTCAAAAGTGTGCGCGCTTCTGTTAAAGTTTGGCTGGAAATGAGAACTTCGTCCACCTTTACGAAAGGAGGATGAGGTACCCATTGGGAGGTAAATCGTTGAATATCTTCGACTGTATGATTAGAGGCATAGATAAGGAATCTGCGAATTAAGTGAAGACCTTCATCGTAGGAGATATGGGCAGTAGGTTTCTCTTTGCGAGGTCCACGTTTGAAGAACTGCGAAATAATTAGTTAGAAGATTGGTGAGTATGAAGAAGAGGTGTCATAAATACATGAGTGATGAATGTTTGAAAAACAACAGGCGCAACTGCTGCCCCGACTGAAGCTGTATTAAGTCCCATATTTGAGGGAGTTTTCGAGTTTGAGATTTGGCGTTGTTGTCTATGATGTCGTTTCGAGTCAAATCAAGTCGAACTTCGATTGGAAACCCTAGCTGCCTCCAAATCGCCCAAACCCAACCGCAATTCAAAACCCCAGCTCCTCACTCTCGAAACCAACCGCACAATATCTTTTCCAAAAACGAGTGTTTCTCCCAATGAGTCGTGTATATTTAAAAAGGAAAAAGAAGTCAAGTTAAGTCTCCCCAACAACAACAACAATCAACATGAACAAAGATTAATAATAATGCTCTCTGCGAAATGTGCCCCTTTCTTTCACTTCTCACATCTTCAACATCATATGTAACGTAATGAATAGTACCTAGGTAATGAACGGCGATATATTCCAAAAAGGAGAGACAGTTAATCCAAAAAATTGATGGTAATTAATACGGAGTACGAAAACCGAGAATATAAAAATAAACCTGCCACCAAGTGAACCTACCTCCAAATTAACAGACCGGTGGACTCGGCCGTTGTTATCACAAGCTCCTTCTTATGCAAAGTCACACATATTAACGTCATAGGCGTTTTTCTTTAACGAGACCTTGAGCTGATGGATGGACACTGGTAATTTATTTTAAGTGGGTGAAAAAGGGTGATCTTATCCCTGATGCATAAATTTAAGGTTTAGCGTGGTGAGATTTATGCAGTGGATAAAAGATTGTGAGGAGATTTATTTTGCGATTGAGGTACCCCGCCATCAAATTATATCTTGTCGCATAACCTCGAGAGTAAATTCAAGAAAGAAGTAGGAATAGGGAGCGTAAAGGATATAATACAATAGGGAAAAGATAAAGAAAACAATATGGCCTCTTCACAATCAAATGTAGGAAATGGAGTATACTCACCCGGTAAGCTACCCTCACTCATTCAATTCATACTTTTCTCTTCATAATACCCAGTCTTTACTTTCGCACACACTTATTTCTCATCCATTCCATACATCATACTAATTCCTCCCTCCAGAACTCCGCCTCCACCACTTCCAACGTAGCATAAACCTCTCCATCTTCCTCTGGCCCTCCCTAACCCTCGCCGTAACCTCTTCCTGGGGCGGCCCGGAATCTACCTCCAAACGCGAATGGCTAGCCGCAACCCTCATCGATCTTCTCTCCGACCCTGAAAACCACGACGTAGACGCCGGCTGGATCGAAGAATTCCTTTTAAATGTAATGGAAGATGAATTCGAAGTAGTAGTCGATGATGGAAGCGCGTTGGAAGTGGCAAGTGGTATAGTTAAATGTAGAGGGGAATGTGAGAGAGGAGTGTGGGGAGAAGAGACCAGTTTGTGTGCGAGGTTAGAAAGGAAGTGGCAGGAGAAAGGGGGGAAGAGTGAGGATTTGGCAAATTTTAAGAAGGGAGCTGATCAGGAGGATACGGATGGGGATGAGGACAGTGGGGATGAGGAGGATGAAGAGGGAGATGTGGAAATGGATGAGGCGCCGCAGTTGGTGAGGGTTAAGGAGCCCGTTGTACCGGAGGTGGATGAGGATGGATTTACGAAGGTTGTTAAGAAGAGGAGATGAGAGGTGCGATGGGCGACAGTAAATTGAAGGAGCTACGAGGATTCGAACAGAGGGATTATAACAAATGGCGAAGAAGATTTGGTAATAAAGAGGACGAGATTGCCAAGTTTGGCAGGTATTAAAGAGTAATCGTACGACAGGTGTGTACGATTACGACAATGGAGGATTTCAGAAAAAACATCTCGGAGGTCATGTCAATTCTAGATACATGACCTGATGTCTCCGATGGAGATTGAGCACGAATGTCAAAATTATCTGGGAAGATTTTGACGGCAAAAGTATTGGGAAATAATACACTACCAAACCCATCCATTTGGTTCTCATAAAGATTTTCCAGGAGACAATTAGGTCTCTTTTAGACGTCACCACTAAAACCACCCAATATAATAGAAGAAATAAATAACAAGAAACCACGTTTAAAATATATCAATCACACAAGAGAAGATATAAAATGTGCCAACTTTCTACAAAAGCCAAAATCTCAGCACTTTCCTCAATGACTTGGATATTTTCTTATTTACAAGAACCTCCTTCCCCCTCATCTCTCAGCACTTTCCCCAGAAACCTAGATATTTTCTCATTCACAAGAATCTCCTCCCCCCTCACCTCACCTCCCACCAATCGATTAAAAATATCTTACGGAGTATAAACCATCTAATCTAATCTATCTTTTTGTCTACCTAAATTATTTATCTATATAAACCCTCTCCAAAGCCCTCTCCTTTCCTCTCCTCTCCTCTCCACTCTATTAAAATTATAATACTATAAATAGATTAAAGATTAAAAATTAAGATTTTAAAAAATGAATAAATAAATGAATAAATCAATCAGATATCTAGATACCACTATCACAGAGAGTAAAACAAATTACTATACAAGCTATACACATGCGGCTAATGCAAGGTTCATTTATACACTGTAGAGGAAGATATATGATTTATTACCTAAAGCCTAAAGCCTAGATCCTAAAGCTAAACCTAAACCTACTCAGACAGCTATCAGGGGAGCGTAGAATAGGTAGGATAGAATAGAAAAGCATGAAGGAATGCGATATTCCAAGTTCCAGAAAACAAGACATGCCAGGCTGTTTGCAAAAAATGAAAAGGGAAAAGTCCAATCCTAAACTCCTGAAATAAAAATTGTCCTCTAACGCCTGTCTCATCATAAAATATATTCAATTCCCCTCATACACAAACATTTATTCCCAATCTTCCTCCTCGCTGTCATCCTCACCACTCTCCTCATTCTTCTTTGCATCTGCTTTTGCAGCCTTCTCTTTTGGACTGTTAGGAGCCCTACTAGGAACGCCCGAAGCTGCACCCACTACATCATAACTACCATCACTGTCCGCTTGAGATTTTTCATCGTTAGACTTTCTAGGTTTGGGAGTTGTAGTTTCAGTTGCCTTTGCCTTTTCTTGTGTTGCCGCATGTAAAGTTGTAGAGGATCCGGCGGAACCTGGTCTATCGGAAGTTGTCTTTACTTTTGTAGTTTTGCCATCTTCAGATTCTTCATCGTCGGAATCTTCTTCTGAGTCTTCTTCGGAATCGGACGCCCATTTTACTTCTTCTTCTTGTTCAGTTGCTACGGCGCCTGTTTGTTATATTATTAGATATGTCTCAAAGTAGTTATGGAAAGAATGGCAAACATACCTTTGAGTAAATCTCTCCTTTTAGCTTCGGCAGTTTCAATACTGTGACGAAGGAAATAGTAACGTTTGAAGAAATCCTCATATTTAACTTGATCCGGCACCAACTTCTCCATTGAGCTTCTTAATTCTTTATATTTTTCCAAATCCTTACTGATATCATCCGTCTTTTTCTCAACACTGAAATTCTTAGCCCATGGTCCAAATTCCTCGCTGATTGGATCGGTGGTAAAACTATCAAGTGTAGAGTGGATGACGTGAAGTTGAGCATCAAATCGTGTAGTATGAATGACTCTTTTCCCTTGAGAGTCTTTACTCTCGAATAAAACTGCATTGGCTTGTCCATTTGCATCCGACGTAGGTGGTGCAATGCTAACCGCATCTTTCAAGAAATTTCGAATGTTGGTTCCAAACTTAAGGAGCGCTTCATCTGCAGCATCTTCCGCTTTTTGAATCTCCACCAATCTCTTAGCAGCCTCTGATTTTAATCTTGCCAAAACTCCTTCTGATTCTTTCAATGCTTCATCTGTTGTTATATCTTCCGCAGTTGATCTCCCTTCCTTACTTGTAGACCCCGCCGCGGCTTTCGCATCCTCCTGAGCTTGTGTAACGGTAAGTCCTCGAGTGCGACTAATAATCGAGGATCTCAGGTCTGTAAACCCTTTGGTAGCTTCCTCACTGACATTACTAAACTCCTGCTGAGCCTCCTTATAAACATTCCCGCCCTGCAGATCAAACAGAATTACTCAGTTAAATTCCCTATGTGTCTACTAACCCTCCATCTCTTACCTGTTTAACTACACTTCCAAAAAATCCACCTAATTTTGCGCCCCAAGGACTAGAAGATATAGCTTTGTATGCTTCTTGAAAGTCGGCATTGAGAGTTGGAGCGGGTTGCGACGTCTTATCCTTGTTTTGATCAGGTTGGAGAGCTTCCTCTTGGATATGATCATATGCGAGATCCATCTTTGCAAGAAAGAGAAAGTCTTGGAGAAATTAAAGATTCATAAGGAGTTTATCAAATATCAAATTGTTTTACGAATGGGATAATACTCCATAGAGTGGAGCAATGGTCTGTTGTGATTGCTATGCATCCACTGAGTAGATTGCAAGCAGAGCCGAATCTCGCATGGTCATTCGACAAGAATATCCCGCTTTCAAGCCTCCATGTGTGTAGTGGCTGAAACAGGACACTAGCCACGAAGACATGTGACACTTACCCCGTGCTTACCCCGTGCTTACTCGAGGAGAGACAGTGAGATTATGGTTACACAGAAATCAAGAGCTTACCTCATCTACTTAAGTCGTTCGTTTCACAAGAGCCGGAGCTGAAGAGCCAAAGATACGAAGGTAGGTATCATTAGTACCCCAGACGCGGCGAACGGACATGAAATTTGCGTTTCGGGGTCCTTTCGCCGTTCGGAGACTATTATGCAGCATAGGAGTCAGGACAGCTTGGCCTCGGTAGGTACCAGACTGTAATAAGAATCTAACATGATTCTCGCATTGATTTCTTGCATGTGACCAGTTAGATAGGAGTAAGGGCAGATGCAGAACCAGGGTCGAAATTTCAACCATTCATTGATGCCCTCAAAAGCCATTATCTATTATCGAAAGGCATATAAGAGCATACTATCTAGGTAGTCTTACCTACACGTGCGTCATTTGTGATATTGACGACGTTGACTCATACCTTTCTTTGCCTATCTTCGAGCACCTACTATATGGGATCGCTGCATGAAAAAAGACTTCTAAATGGCATGGTTATCAAGATGAATTTTAATTTGATAGGGTTATTTTTATCATGTCTAGAATGTCGCACGGTTAACGATCAGCGATCAACCATGTTACCGGTATATACGGAGGATGTGAAGATAGATGGATGTTAGATCAATAACGTTTTGAACCCTCGAAATATGGTGATGCTAGGGGAAGGGGAAATAGATAGGTAGATGACCTTTGTGCATCACTTTGTGTAGACTTCATATCATACGCGTACCGGCACCTACCTACTGTTCACCGACTGATAGGTAAAAAATGGCTCTTGTGAAGTTACGTGTTGCGTGCCTACCTGATGAGTGAGTGATAAGTGAGTGAGTGATAAAGTGCCGGCTGGGAATATATGTAGTAGATTCATTATTTGGTATTATTTTATCATTATTTATCATTATTCATTATTATTTATTATTATTTATTATTACTAGGTACCGTTCCCCCTTTGGGCCATTGCATAAAATTTCACTAATTCATTTACGGATTTAGCGGACTTTTCAAAGTTTGAATGCTGAGAAATCAAAAGCCCCCCCAAAATTCACTGCCCCTCTTGGGGGTGGAATCCTGAAGAATCATTCGATGAAATGGGGGAATGGGGCGGTTCGATTGGGTGGCTGCAAAAATCATGAATCAGTTGAGAGAAGTTTCTTGGGAGAACTCTTCCCGAAGGCCTTGATGCCCTTCTTTCCATAGTCAAACCATCAAACAACTTCCCACCACTTCATTCCAGCGAAAAGAGAAGAAAGATATATTTATTTTCTTACATCTTACATGCGCTTACGCCGGAGAGTGTAACATCAATTGCAAGCCACGAATTCAAGGCTGCAAAAACCAAGACCTCGTTACCCTCCACTTTTTCGCCTCTCATCTCTCCTTCTCCAAGAGATCCGGCCCCTCTCTTCATCCGCTACGGTGGAATTGATTGACCTGCATAAGCTTACGGTAAAAGAGTCGAAAGAGTTATTGAACTTTTTATTGTGACCACCTTCTCATTCCAAGACATCAACAACAACAACAACAACATCACCACACCGATCAATATCTTCAAACAAATCGGATCTAACTCTGTTTTGCCGACTCTCCGTCCTACGCCCGCACTCTTGGTGGTCGGAAATATCTAGGGAATGTAAAGATCGTTCTTCCTGAAAGAACATCTATCTCGTTTCATCCACAAAGAAATCGCTCCACGCCTTCTCTACGTCAGAGTCACAAATAAATCAAGACCACAACAAGATTTAAATGGCTGCCACCAGTACCAATCGCCATAATCCAATAAATTCGGATTTTACCCTATCTCCACGACAAGAAGAATTACTTTTCGCTGCTCTCAATTCAAACAAGTCGTCAACCAAACCTTCAAACAACATGGATAAATCACTTCCACCATCAACAAATGCCCTTTCAAACACCTCGACGTCCACATTCAATGAATCTCCAATCCAAGCTCCCGGCTCAGGTACACTAAGTACATTTGACGAAAGCCCCTTTATCGACTACGATTATGAATTCGAAGGTGATGATAGTTTCAACTTCGACTTTGGCAATGATTCACAAGGTCAAATGATTGGAAATTTACCTGGTTCGTCGTCAGATGGTGATGCTGATAATCATGAGAAGCGAAGTCATCCTGATGATGACGATGAGGAAGAAGGTGGTGGTAAACGAAGAGAAGGTGATGATAAATCATCCAAGAAGCCTGGCAGAAAACCTCTTACATCTGAGCCCACTTCTGTGAGTATTTGTGGGGTTGTACTTATTTCTGAATAGCTTCTAATTTCTTAATTAGAAACGCAAGGCTCAAAATCGTGCCGCCCAACGCGCTTTCCGTGAACGAAAGGAGAAGCACCTGAAAGATCTCGAGACCAAGGTTGATGACTTGCAAAAGGCTTCCGAATCTGCCAATCATGAGAACAGTATTCTACGAGCGCAAATTGAACGAATGACGATGGAATTGAGGGAATACAAAAAGAGATTATCACTTAATGGTGGTATCAACCGTAGTCCAAATGGCAACCCCCCGGCTTATTTCGCAGGAAAAGGGCTTTCAAATGCATCGGCCACTCCAAATGATGTCAACTTCCAATTCGAGTTTCCAAGATTTGGTCGCCTTCCAGGTCCTCCTATCACCAACGGAAGTTCATCCATGGCACCATCCGCCTCCCCAACTACACCAACTCAGAATGCTCAGAGTCCTACCGATAAGAGTCAATCTAGCTCACGCAATCATTCCAATGCCAGTAATACTTTTGGCGTTGGTACAACCCAAACTTCAGCTCAAAATGGTGATGATATGACATCCTTCTCTGGTCTGTTCAGCCCGGAAATCCTGGATAGTGCATTCAAGAGTTCACCATTCGACTCCTTTGGCAACCTCACCCACGGATCAATGTCCAGTACGGGCTCTCCTCATCAATCTACCAATGGCCAAAATACTTCATATAGTTCACCATCGGCTTCTTCACAATCCAACCATGGAACAAGCTCATCCTGTGGTACCTCTCCAGAACCTACGAACATGCAATCACCATACAATAAAGCGACTGACAATACTTTAACAACGATTGGAGAGGAGAACACATGTGGCAACAGCAATGCAGCACCAGGTGAGATGTCCTTTTGCGAGAAGCTCAACATGGCTTGCGGCAATCCTAACAATCCTATTCCCCGTGCATTGTCTGAATCTGGTACCAATCCAGGAAATGTAGAACCCCTCGTTTTCGATGTCAATGGAATCGATTGGTTGGCTCAACAAAACAACAATCAATTCGATCCTCAACTTTACGGTGATTATCGGGAACCACAGAACAACATTCTCTCAAATGACCTTTATGGTCTTGATGATGGTTTCTTCACAGATGCATTTGATATCCAAGATTTCAATAGCCCATTCAACGTTCCGACTCCAACCACTACAGCGAAGGATCTTGTGCAACAAATTGATGAAAAGCAAAATGAAGATAGTGAGGTAGTTCCAGGAGAAGATAGATCAACAATGCTTAGTTGCAACACCATTTGGTATGACTCCTGATTTTCAATAAATGAAACTTATACTGACAACAATTTAGGGATCGCCTACAAAATTGTCCCAAGGTCAGAGAGGGCGAGTTTGATCTTGATAGCCTTTGCAAGGATCTTCAAAAGAAAGCCAAATGTTCCGAGACAGGTGCTGTTGTCAATGAGGCTGATTTTCAAAAAATCATGAATAGTTACGCTCCTAAAGGTTGCGATACTATGTTCCCTACAACAGCCAAGAAGGCATAAATGATCGATCGGATATACATTTGGGATGATACTTGTACTGGAACGGAATGGCGTTGCAAACACATTAAAATGACCAGAAGGTCGGATCATGGTTAAGGATAACATTTTGCTAGGACAAAGCAATCTTTTGGCGCCCAATGATCATGATATATCTCATTGATCTGGATTGGTTTTGATTTTAATTTTCTTTCGCTTCGGGAAATTCGGAATCGGAATTTGACTACTTGCCTTTTTTTTTTTTTTTTTTTTTAGTTCTTTTCGCTTGGTTGTTGATGGTTGGCTGGAGTGGTTTGCCTGTGCTTGATGATGAATGAATTCTATGGCTGGGTGGATGATTTTGCGTTAGTACTGAGAATGGATGAGTTTACAGTATTTTTTTTCACTTGTTCATCTTGTGGACGAAGTGAATAATCGATCTCTACTCTATTTTAGTATTGCGGCAATGGAGACGATAGGCATGGAGGAAATAAGAATTGAACGAGAATGATGATGAAGCAATGGGCTGGCATAGTTTAGTCTGATTAATATGCTATAAGAAATCATCAAGTTAAGTATAATTAATAGTGATTTGTTCATGGATTTATCTATGTGATTTTCGAGATGATTATAGTAGTTTGTAACGATACTGTACCGGAGGCAGCGGCTGCCTGAGGTTTCGTCTGGTTGGTAGTTGTGGGTTAAGGCTTTATCACTAGTCTTCACTTGGAAGTGAAGTCGTTACTAGATCAAGTAGAATGTAGGTAAACTAATTGATAACTAAGTTGAGCACGAAGCTCCTAAACTATGAAACTACTCTGACTATATACTGAACAATAAAGGGGGCCCCTAAAAGCTTTCTGGCTCCTCAAGACTCCTTATCACGCGATTTCTGATGGTGCGTGCGCATACGATCTTCAGGTGACCAAGATCACATACTAATTCGATGAAATCTGATCGTGTTTGCACACGGCCTAAGCTCTCCTAATTAATCAGTTTGCTACCATCGTAACACCATCAATCCTAATGGTGAATCGTGACATAGTTCTAGATCTTACTTATTGTATAAGTTTAATATATCTCTTTTGAACCCTTTTTTAAATTATTGTTTTCTGATATTTAAAATAATAAAATTGATATTTATAAATTTTTTGTCTTTAAATATAATTTTTTGAAATTTTAAATATAGATTTATTATTTGTATATTTAAATTTATTTTAATAATTTTAAATTTTTGGTAATTTTTTATAATTTTTTTAATTAATATATTAAAAGTTGAACTTTGAAATTTTAAATTTAAAAAATTTATATATAAGATTTTGTAAAATATAAAAAAGTTACAACTTGTTACGAAGGTAACAGTCAACCTGTCCGTATAAGCTTCGACCCTATGGAAAAGCAAGGAAATTTACATACAAAATTGTATAACAACTTCCTCACGAGATCTCCCCACCCTTAGCAAGCTTGGACATATAGTCTGATCCAGTCACGTGATGGACCCTGCATATTCAGGGATACAAATCGTAGGTCCATACGAATCGAAGGTCCATAAACTCTCAGGATCCAAGAGATCCAATGAAGGGCGAAGGTCTATATAATCAGGATGGTTTCCTCTGTGTAGAGCTTCGTGTTCAAGATCAATCATTTAGTATACTCTACTATTAGTTACGAATTGCATTATTGTCATTACTTTAAGTCCCTGCTTGACGCCTAGTTATAAACCACCTCGAGAGCCTAGAGCACTTCTACGTGATCTAGACGGCAAACCTCGTAACAGTTATAAACCACCTCGAGAGCCTAGAGCACTTCCACGTGATCTAGACGGCAAACCTCGTAACACAACTTTTTTTAAATTCTTATATTTTAATCTATTGAATAGATTTATTTATTCTAGAAAATAATTTTTTTAAAAATATTTGTTAAAAAGGAATGACCTCACACAGGGAATAGTGGGAAGCTGATAGGGCAGAACTGAGGTAATATTGAGTCTCAGTAGGTTAATCTCTCTTCTAAGTTCTACGGAAGTGCGAAGCTCTCTGTAAGAGAGCTTCTCAATCTAGTCCTAACAGGACTAGTGCCCTGTGCACGTGCCTACGCAGGAACCCATTCACTTTAACAATATTTCTTATTAAGATATTTTGATTTTTAATCTTAATAGAATTGTATATAAATCTTATATAAATTGGAAAAATAATTTGAACCTGTACCTCTAGAAAAGGCATATTATGAAAAAGTTTAAAGTTTTACAATCTATTTTTTTTTCATAGATAATGTTAAAGTGAATGGTTCCCGCGTAGCACGTGCACAGGGCACTAGTCCTATTAGGACTAGATTGAGAAGCTCTCTGTAGGAGAGCTTCGCACTTCCGTAGAACTAAGAGAATGGGTGATTTATATACAAGACCAATATAGCCTCAGTTCTGCCCTGTCAGCTTCCCACTATTCCCTGTGTAAGGTCATTCCTTTTAACAAATAAAAGTATTATTTTTAAAATTTCAATTAGTTTGTTTTATTTATTATAAAGTTATTTATAGATGAAAATAACGATTTTAGATAGAAGGGTGGCCGAAAAGGGGGTATTAGACTCTAGTGTTATTGTTACTAATTTGAGTGATAAGGTGATTGGTGGTGATGTTTAAGGGACAGTATAATATGTTTGTAATGATGAATGAGCTGGAGGTGAGGTGAGGTGAGTTGAGTTGACGTGAGGTATTTCGAAAGAGGAGTTAGTGTGAAAGAGAGGCATAAGGGACAGTGAGATATCTTGTTTATTTTTTTCTTGATTGATTGGGTGGGTGGATGGATAATGGGAATATCTTTTTTTGTCTTTTCTTGATATTTGTGTTCTTGCAGGATGGATGATTGGGGGGGATCAAGTTCTCTGAATGTGCTTCTACTGTTCCTGCCTGGATATGTGGTTATATGATTATACGAATTAATGAGCACGGTGTCTGGAGGAAGCGATACAACTTGAATGTTGGGGGTTCCTTTCTTTTCCCTTTGCTGTTTGATAAGTCATAAAATTTTTTGATATTGATTGATTAGATTCTAAATAAGTTCTACTCATCACCACGCTAGAAATATTTCTTTCATGTTTCGTTTGGCAGATCTTAATTATTAAGTCGTATCAGGAGACATGAGAATGTGTACAGGATGCAGCTTCATCGCACGGTGTATATCTAGAATATTTCTATGCGAATGCCTCCATAGGAGTTCTGCGAAGGTTGGAAATGGAAGGAGCTTATTAAGGAAAGCTTGCTGGGGTATTACCATAGCTCAAACTATCATGGTGGAATGAGCGTGCTTTTTGAATCTGGTCGTCAGTTTGATCTTATTACGTGTGGATACATATTGTGTGATATTCATGAAAATGTCGTATTTCTCTGGGATCCGGAATATACTGGTTCATGTGACTATGACTCTGGGAACAGTTTTGATACTGTTTGACTCATATGCTTAGCTTGTTCGCCTTATTGGAAGATCGTGTCAGATATTTTTCACAACATGGAATATCCTCTTAAAAAGGCGCACCCGATAACTCTAGCGCTCTACTGCCGTCTGGTAGTCAAATCTTAACATATTCATTGTTTAGCATGGAATTACTTGGAAGTCTCGAGTGACTCGAGTCGAGTCACGCTATACTCGTGGATTTCTAAGATAAAGTAAGGGGGAAAAGGCTTAAACCAATGAGGAATCATGTCATTGTATCTAAAGTGTTCTCTTGCAAATCTCACGAAAGCAAATAGCATTTGAAAGGGTTTTTTCTTGGACATCTAGACGGGTGTGAGAAAAACAGTCCGAAGATGCCAACTTCCATTTATGCTCTTATGATTTTCTCAGATAGATTTTGCTTAGTATTTCCATGATACTGATCCAGAGCTACACCTTTGCCTTCCAGTATGATTAGGTTATCTGAAGTTTGTTATTCGCCCATAAATCGAGTCAATATAACTTCACAATTGCTAAATTAGTTTTTAAGGGGTGCGATTCAAATTTTCCCTTTAAGCGAGATATCATATCCCTCTTCAATATGAAAGGTTAAAAATTTATAGGCAGAAGATTAGACGGTACCTGATTACTTACTCGTGTAGCTCGTCGAATAATTCATCTCCCTCCTTTTAATGAAGTTTCCGGAGTGGAAATATAACAAATTGAGGTATTTCGTTTGATTTTGTTGCATATCTGATGGAAGGAACAAGGGGCTTCCCGAGCATTCTTGAATGGATACGATAAGGCGGGGAAGGGGTGGGTGGGGTTAGCTACTAAAAAAGGTGTCTATTTTAGCAGGTTCGTTAGCGCATAGCCTATTTGAAATAGGAAGAACTGAGAAGTGTTGTAAGATGTTATGGCTTATGAGGGTTTCTAACTAGGGATTTTGTGGGGTACACTAATTATAATCACCTATCCCCTTCGTTGGACATGGGAGTAGTATCAAGAAATATCTGTTACCGGGGGAATAGATGCGGACTTTTCATGGATAATAGAAATGGAATGTAGCTAGGTTGTGATGGTAAATATTTCCACAGTTGCAGGAGCGGACCGTGAACAAACGATCTGCACGCATAACGACTTCTTCGACATACCGTTATCTAAATCTTAAAATTCACAACTATTATGTTACCTATACTGATTAAAACTAGAGCGTGCCATCTAATCCTTTGTTCTTCTTTGAGTAGGGATTCTAGATCTTGTTTTAGTGAAAGATTATACTAACTCCTCTTGTGCTATGGTTTCTGTGATTGACTTGTGGTATTATTTAATTAATACTTATTGAAATCTCCGAAGTAACCGTTATTATCATGCTGAGAGTGTATTTGGGATTCACAGATGTACTATTAGCGTATTAACTTATCAATATGAGCTCAAATTAGTCGTCCAATAGTCGAGATCTCAGGGCAACAATCAGGGATTTTCGGATAACATGATCACTTTGAGCTCTGAATTATTCAGATATTGACGTTGGCTGGATCTTGATTCGTCGTAATAATCAGAACACTCTTGAAGGATCAAAGCTTAAAAAGTCTCAATTAGACTGCTCTCATGACTATTCAAGACCAGGACACTAGGCAGCCCCGAAGATTGGCAAACTACTCAAAAAGCTATACGATCAATGACTAACTAAAGTATGAGTCTAGAACTCCTCTGGTGTTTTCATTTGAACTACACTAACCCTCACTAATTCTTAGTTGGGGCAATGGCTTCGAACTGTGTAGTATAAAGGAGACACTTTGCTGTTGAAGGATTTCAATTTATTCTTCTTCATTTACTCGACAACCTTCTATTTCGACTTTCAACAAGTCGACCTTCAATTTCTTCTTCTTCATTTACTCGACAAACTTTTACTTCGACCTTCGACAATTCGACCACTTCCATTCGCTTTATCGGCAGTCCCACCTCCTTGGAGTATGACTATAAATAATGGGAGCCAACTATCTGGCTGTCGTCGCCAGGGAACCAGGCAAATATCTCGACAAAATTCGACAACTTCGACAAGTCCAACCTCTTTGGAGTGTGACTATAAATAATGGGAGCCCACTACCTGGCTTTCGCCGCCAAGGAACCAGGCATATCGACATCACGCCAGTACTTTATCGCCAGTACTTCACCGCCAGTACTTCAACGCCAGTACTTCATCGCCAGTACTTCACCGCCTGTACTTCCCACCGGAAGATTTTCGATATTTATCCGGCCATCCCATCTTAGATAAGTCTCTCCACTCCGCTAACCGCTAATTCGTCTATAGGTAGGCTAGCCTTGATCACACGTCCACGTCGTGCTAGCTGGGAACCCTCAAATGAGGAGCTAAGTGATCTACTCTGAACTAAGTAAATCCACCCTAACATGCATCCACCTCACCTCCCTTACGGAAGATCACATCCAGAATTAGACTTTCGGGTTTGATTCTTGGTGTAATCGGGAGGAGTTAACAAAAGCCCGACCTGGGAAACCAGATCACTCAAAGCCCTCTTGCAAGTGCAAGTTGGTCCTTGGGGAATACCGGAGAAGCCAAAGAAAGCCGGTAAAAAGCTACGCTCTAGTTCGTTTTGATAGAGATTAGTTCCTGAAAAAAAAAAATCACATTAATCCCCCATGTCCCGCTCACTTGTTATCTTACTCTTTGATACGCTACCTGATTTGAGGCCCAGCTTTAAGATCAAGTCGCTCTTGCCAAATCGATGGAAGTGAATGGAAGCATGACCTCAGATTTACGTTTCTTTCCTTGGTTGGTGTACTCGTCATCAACCCTTGAGCCGTAGTTCATTCTAGTAGTTAAATTTAGCTAGTTTATAATATCAATACATTTCCTGCCATGCATTTATTATTTCCTGATCGTCTTTGCCATGTATCACGAGGTCTACTCTAGTCTTCTCAACTCCGCCTTCCAGCAACTCTACCTATTTCTTGCCTGTAGCGCCCCTAGAGTACGCCTTGGCCGTTTTTCGCTGTTTGTCTTTGATAGGTAACCCAAATCTCAAATAATCCCCCAGTATCCAAGCTCTACAATTTCATGATCGTAATTTTAGAGGCGGTGCTCGATCCTGGGATTGCCTTCAGTACTTTGCTTGGGAGTATTTGGATTAGATTGGAATTCCTTACTTTAGGCATTGAGTATGAGAATACAGAAGGACCGAACTTTCAATTGAAGCACTGTTTTAGCAATTCACAGAGACTCCAGCAGTTTAGGTTAGATGTCAGGTAAAAATAACTCCAGCTGGAAATCAGACTTTTCAATGCACAGTTCAATGCAGACGTAATTTCCTCGGTTGCGTGCTCAAGTTCGTCTCGTGTTTATTGATGGGGTTAGCATATTGCAACTGTTATGGGGTCTCTCTGTGAAATTTTGGAGCTTCTCATACATTTGGAGGTTTCTAAAAGGTGATTTTAGAAGGATATAGTCAAATTAGTTCGTCTCATATGGTCGGACTCTCATGAAGAAAGCTACAAAATGTACTTGATGGCTCTCGTTGTTGTTTGTCTAGAATTAACATTTAGTACTCCCTACAATACCCACAAAGCATCTCTTCTACTATCATCGTTGCCTTCCTATCTTCTTCACGGATCTTTCCACATCTGGATTTTGCAATACACTAGTAAACATGGTAACAGTCACGTGACATTACCCTACCTCGCTCCTTCCCCATAAATGTCTCTCGGATTCTATTACCTAGTCTCACCACCACATATCTGAGACTTTCGGACCATACTCGTACTTTTCGTACTTGATTTGTCCAATTCAACGCTATATTGATACTCAAATTTCCCTTTAGACACGTCTCTATCTATCCCCCATGTTCTGGCTGGTCACTCTGGCTAATCGGCAACCTGACTCTAGTCTAGTTATCCCCCGGTTTATTCTCTGGTGTCAAAATTGCATGCTCTCTCCTTCTCCTGTAACTTTGGCTTCAGTGCACAAAGCTTTTTCACAGTCTGAGTGCGAAAGGTAATTCCTAGTTAGAATGGAAGGATTAATGGTAACTACTCTATGTCTAATTTAGTCAATCACAGGAGATTATGGAGAAAATTCATTCTATGGCACGATTCATTTTCTTCTGGATATTTCATTCGACATAACTAGAATTAGCGTTGTTTATCTAGATCAGTTTTCTGTCTACTTCCGACATTAAAGCAAGTGAGTACACCGAGTCGGGGACAAGCGTCTATTCTTTGCGCTTACCTAGAATTTGAGAAATAAGCTGCCATTGTTGCGGGAGGGACGCCTGAGTATGCTAGATTAGCACTGGCGTTGTTGGCGCAAGTTTATACTTTTTCTATAGGCCAGTCAGGAAGGAGAGTTCGTCACATGATGCCAGTCAACTGAGGCACAACAGAACTAAAATTATCACAGAGGGGTCAAGCTCCTTATGGAAGTCATGCTAGGAACATAGTCGGATCAAAGTGATCGAGGAACCCCAGTAAAGATACCTTGAAAACACGTTGCAGCTAATAGAGGCTAATTTACTACTACCTAGATAGTTTCACATTTTGAAGCATTTAAATCCTTGAAGCAATTCCGAATTATTGACTTTGATCCGCTGGTACTATGAAAACTAAGTCTACTTTACTCTTAAGCTCTTTCTATGATAGCCCAGCATATTCTATTCTTAGTCGCTCTTTTCTGTATTGTCTAAACTGCTCCACCTAAGGTCCTCCCTCACAATCTCACGCCATACAAATCTTTTACAATTACCTTATAGTTATCTTTCATCCACTCTGAGCCTTAATAGCAAATTGTTGGAAATCCGAAAAATGGGACGACTTTTGCGCTACTGTCATCGTCGCTTTTGATTCCATTATCAGGTATAAATCACTTTTGATTGAATATTAACTAGAACTTTATAAATTTTGCTGTACGTTAGCTAAACAAAATTATTTTAGGATTTACGCGAAAATAGTGTCTTTTTGATTTAGCTTTTAAGGAACACCATTTCTCGGCTCGGAAAAGGGGAGGATCTGAAACTTAATTTGTCACGTGCTTACACTTGAAAATGGCGAGCTGGGAACGTGACAACATGGGTTGAAAGATCGACATGATTAGCTCTGAAAAATAGCGGATTCTATTGAGGTTTCATCTGGAATTCTAAGCGTAGAATGGGAAAGAAGTTCGTGGCATGCGTGGAAGGAATTAAGGAACAAGGGGAGGGGGCTAAAGATGATCGCGCCAACACAGGCCACATCCATCACGAAAGTCAAGAAATTACACTATGCGTCGTGATATGCTACACATGTGGATGAAAAGTGTGATTTTCTTAATTCTATTGGATATCGGCTTTCCGAACGATGAGCCTTGAAATTTTGATCACAAACGTTATTAGGGGCTAAAGCAATTAGCCGATATTTGAAAACATCATGAATATGTGACAAATGGTAGGAACTTTGTTTGCTGTGATTAACTAGTCATGAATACTAGTTAGAGCGCAATTTTGAATTTGTGAGAGCAAATTTGTTGAGCACATGATGTATAAAAAGTTTAGATAATTTAGGGACCAAGAAACCAACAGTCTGGGATCGATTTAAAGCATAAGGGGAAAGCGGAACTGCGTGTTGACTCCCACTACATGATTTTATAATAAGCTTTTCCGATACATATCTATTCCGTGGCGGATGAATGTCAATTATTTCCTTCTAGATAATTAATAGAAAACAGGTTCATTGATAGGTATATACATGAGAGGACCATATGTCAGCTTTTGCCATTTGCAAAGTTTAATTGCCTGACTGCAACTACAAGCCGGATAGCCTTAGCACAAAGCTTAGTTTTCGTCCATGTTAAAGTTCCCTCAGGTCATGGTTCTCCCCTCCACCCTCGCAGTAGTACCACGGATGCCATTGAACTTTTGGATTTTCAGGGACTAACACCGTCTGATGTAAAAAGCCGGTATGTATGGAAATAAACTTAAAAGAACACAGGCTGACAATGAACACTCTAAAACTAGCAAGTAACTTGTGGTTAGTTAGTGTATCGACATTAGATTGTCAACGAAAAAACTAGAACTAACTATTGACAATCTAATGCAAAACTTTAATCCATAATTTAGATATTTTTCTACAAGAAACTTTAAATCTTCAACTCTCCGAACGAAAGTGTCGTTGGATGTTTCGTTCGATTCCCTCATCTTGTGATGACACAAGATATTCCACACTATGGATCTTTAGTATCAACGATTTCCTTAGACATTAAAGTTCTTCTAGTCATATCTACTGATTCTCCGCATACTATAGGGAACTTCTTCATTTCGATTAAATACATAGTAAGAGCCGTGGGTTATTTTGAGCTCCGCTATCTACTAGTATTTGCTTGCATTGAGTGTGACTATTTTAGTATTTCTTTTTCTATGAACTACCCAAATACTAACTACACTAAGTGTCAATATGACGAATTTAAAGTAAATTAGTAACATTGCCACTCTGTATGAAATATTTAAAATCTATGGTTTTCCCATGTAATTTCAGTTTCTTCCTTCCCTGTCAGCTTCAAGTTTGATATTGAATTTTCACATTTAATAGTGTCTTACGTGTTAATATCTGAAAATACTTACTTACAATACATCTTGAATCTTATTTACTCTTTTACCATTTATCATGACTTCCTCACGACGTCGCGTCGACCGTTCTTTCGTTTTCGAGGATAATATTAACACAACTCCTGACTCAACTACCTCCTCCTATTACACGCGGAGTCTTACGGCAGACGACGTTACCTTAGGTAGTATCGCCACCCTTGCCCGACTTCCTGTCGGTCAAGCAACTCCTAAAGTACGTTGTCTAAAGACAAACAAACTAATCAACTCTGGCGCATTTAATCACCCAGTTGTTATTCTCGGTATATCTCAAGACGGCGATAAAGAGGTTTCTGCTCTTTGTTGCCAGATATCTGGGAATAGCAATCCTTTTGCGCCGGAGGCACCAAGCTTTCTACCAATTTCGACAGTCAGTTTAGGTGGTCAATACTCGCGTGTACCAGTCACCAGGAACGAGGCGGTACTTGAAGATAAAGCGATGTTTAAACGATGTTACATCTTAACCGGACATGGTAAGTTCATCCTTGTAACTTTTGCTTGTAACCTGTTCCGTTATCTTGAATTAACCGGCAATGCCGTGCTTGCAAGCCTTTTGAATTTACTGATATATGTACAATCCACTAACTAGCTCTGTACGACCCAATCTAGGCTCTTCGCCTCCGTGTACTCAGCTTTTTATTCAGCATATAATGAAACTCAATTTCACATTATATGTTGATAGGATCTTGTTGGGTTTCTTGAGACTAGAAAGAGCATCAGATTGAATTGATTGATTTTCTAGCTGAGCAGTTAAGCTGCGAGTATATATTCAAAAAATGAAGGAATAGGTTAGGTATTCGGCCTTCGGAATTAAAGTGCTTTGAAATCAAAATATTGAAAGCAAACAAACAGTATACCAAAAAGGAAAGAATAAATTAAAAGTTGAGTTTTGTTTGCTCCTTATATGCATCATGCAATATACATGCATATGCTGCCAAGATCACAGGAGGTCAACAGATCTACAAAGCATGTGGACCAACCCTCAACCTCAGAAAACTAGAAATATGCTAATACCATCTCCAGTTTACAGCATTCCGCTCTCACTCCTATCGACATGGGGATCTCGGGAATCAAGCTTCTCAACTCGTCTGTGCTCCACCTCTTTCAATATCTTATTGAAGTCCCTAGAGCTTCGTAAGTGGGAGTATAGACAGAAGTTTATTTCCACCCCATCTCTTTATGCTGACAAAAGAACTGAGATTTTGAAGGTAGACATTACTAGATGTTTACCTAAGAAATTTTCACCGTGGGCATAAAGAGTAGATTGGTTGGGAGAAGGTGTAACGAACTCGCATTTATTCTTCTTCGCTTTCCGAATATCGCCAGCCGTGATCGCAGATTTGACCCAGTGGCTCTGAGCACCGTCCTTTTGTGGTCATACAGAAGTGATATCATAGGGGACTTATTCTCTTCTCTTTTTATTTCTCTGCTTTTTTGAGTGCTCCTTGTTTGACTTCGACCCCTGTCTGACCCATTCAATTTAAACTTAAACTTTCGGAGATTTAATACTATCACCTCCGCATTTATCATCATATCGGACAACTACATCGCCACAAAGCCTTCGTCATACATAGTCACAAATCTCATCAACACGCTTATCCGACAACCTTCACAGTCAATCCTATACTCATAGTCACCTTAACGCAGATCCTCGAATAGTCCGGACTAAACCCAACAATGAAAGGTTTTTATTCTTGGATCTAATTAAACATTCCAATTTTGGAATCATCAAATCATATCAAATCTTGATTTTTTAAAACATTGAAAGTTCATATATAATCTATGAGTTTGGATCATGAAGGTAGCGGCAATTCTCACAACATTTTGGCACACATTATCCATCTATTCAACCGCAAATTCACGGTACCAAAAGGCACTTTATCCTCGAGGTATCATTGCACTTCGATGGAAAGTTTCTTACTGCCAAATAGCAACTTTTCATCGCGGATATTGACTATGATAGCGCCGGCCTCGAATGATGGAGGTTATCTTTGCTTGTGCGGGTTTTTGGATATAGAATCGAACTCTTTTAATTTTGAAGGAGAGTTTGACATTTATATGTTGAGCAAAAGCACTGCCATATGTTACGTTGGTGATAATGGAAATCAACTCTACGGAGAACGAGATCTGCTTCACTATCTCCACTACTTTCTATTTCAGCATCGGCGATTTGCATTCATGAAGGATCTAATTGGGAGCATCAATGCCCGAGTCACTGTCAACTTAATTTTTGTCCTTGAAGGGGATGATTCTGTCAGGGCTCTTTATCTGGCTCTTAAGATTCCAGAGAGGTAGAAATACAGGCAGTAGGACCTTCATGCTCATCGTTGTTCAGACCAAGCTTTACAAAGTCAGTTCGAGTCATGATATTTTGCCTCTGTAACAAGATTTATATGGGGTTTTGATGTTGGAATTAGAAGGGATATGAAGTCAGTCACCATCACGATCATATCATCTTCTACATTATCAAGGAAACTCGAATTTATTCGTTCACATTCAAATGTACATCGACACCTGCATTCGCATCAACATCGATATGATTTCTCATCAGCTTCAGCTTCACCATACGACTTCAATCATATCACAATCGTCACCTATTTCACCCTATCATCTTACCATCGTCATCTTCTCTTAATTACAGCGTCAGCTCCATCACAAGATCGCCATAAACTCCTACAACATCATCTACATCTACATCGTTACGCCACAGCTACTAAACAATTGTCCATCACATCCATCACATCCACCAGAAGGATATATTCCAAATACATCATAACCTGAACAATAACAAGAAATTCAAGAAATTCAAACTCATATCTGAACTTCATAAGATAACGCTGTCACGATGAAAAAGAGCTGAAGAGTAATAATCTTCCGCCAGACAGATGAGTATCAAAGAAGAGGAAATAAATTCTCTTGATATCATTCATCCCATAAAAAATTCTATTAACACTGGAAATCTATCATAATACTCTTGGATTAAAAGTCGCAGGGATCTAAATGGATAGATCTCAAGCGCGCGAACTTCAGGGTATCTTTTGTTTTCTTTTCACAAAGTCAACAAAGGAGAAAAGAAAAATAAATACTTTCTCACAATATCATTCACCCGAATCTCTATTCATACAGAAAACCTATCAACATGATTTACTCTTGGATTAATAGTCGTTTAGATCTACATGGATAGATATAAGCGTACGGATTTCGGAGTATATAGCTGGATTATCTATATCTATAGTTGATTATTGTTTGTGGGAGGATATTACTCTAGATTTTTCGCTACGGTGTTTTGGATGATTGGATGGATGGATAGTTGTTATTGAATTTGAGGGAGGATTAGAAGGGAAGAGTGGGATAATATGGAAAGGAGGAAAGGAGGAAAGGAGGGGGGACTCACGCTCGAGCATTTCTGATTTTTGTTTTTATTTCATTTTTTTTGTTCTTTGATACCCTGATTATGGATTATGATACCCGCTCATGTAATAAATAATACCTATTTATATAATACCATTCCAGTCTTCTTTATTACCTTTTCATATATTTATAATATAAATAAACTCTTATGATTTAATATTTATATTTTGAAAAAAATAAAAATTGATTAATGTCTTAATATCTTAATCTGTTAAAAGGAATGACCTCACACAGGGAATAGTGGGAAGCTGATAGGGCAGAACTGAGGCTATATTGGTCTTGTATATGAATCACTCATTATCTAAGTTCTACGGAAGTGCGAAGCTCTCCTACAGAGAGCTTCTCAATCTAGTCCTAATAGGACTAGTGCCCTGTGCACGTGCTACGCAGGAACCATTCACTTTAACAAAAAGTTTAATAAGATTCTTATTAAAGTGTTACGAGGGTTGCCGTCTAGATCACGTGGAAGTGCTCTAGGCTCTCGAGGTGGTTTATAACTAGGCGTCAAGCAGGGACTTAAAGTAATGACAATAATGCAATTCGTAACTAATAGTAGAGTATACTAAATGATTGATCTTGAGCATGAAGCTCTATACAAAGAAAATCCATCTTGATTATATAGACCTTCATGCTTCTATGATCACTGGTGATCCTTCATAATCATCAGTGATCACTTATACCATAATCCTTAGTGATCCTTAATGATCACTACTGATCACTTGTGATCACGTGCCTTGGTCATGTGATGGTAGTTGTGTAGCCCGTCGTAACATAAAGAGATTTCAATATAAGTATTCTGATTTACTGATATTTATTAACTAATAATCCTATTCAAATACTAACTAGAGAATAAATCCAATGCCCGATATTTGCTTTATTTATACTTCCCACCACTACACATAATAGTATAACTAACTACTCCGAGTCAAAGCCGCGATGACCCCCCTTCCCTAACTTCACAAGTATAAACAAAGATTTTACTGATAACATCGTGAATATCTTTCCTCAGACGCAAAGATGATATAATAATACTCCGTACTTCTGTCCAATTGTAAAAAGTGTATATATATACCTATCAAAATGATCCGATTATTAGTGAACCATGGTAACTTCAATGCGGGAACGACTCCCTATTGAATGAGTATGCCCCTGAGAAATCAATTGCTATCTTTCAAATACGTGATTAGGAACTAGCAACTCTTCTCTCGATGAATTCAGGCAATGTTCAATAGATAAACAACCATGTGGAAGATAAGCTGACTTTGCGCACATGATGGGATGGACAGTTTTATCCGCGTGATTGATCACGTGATATATCACGCTTCATTCTCGCTTTCAAGTCAATGAGATCGGTCTTAGGAATCTTGTGCCAAAGAACAGAGAACCAAAGATGGAAAGTATCAAACTCCGATCGTATACATCGAGAGATCTCACGCACGATGGAAAGACGTTACTGCAATCAAATGGTGGCTGTGTTTCCAAGCGAATCATTCATTATCAAAAGAAAAAGGAAAAGGATCTTAAGCTGGGTTTACAGGAGAACTAACTTACTTGCGAACGCCTCGTTTGCTTCTAGAACATTGGGAAACTTTTCCCCACTTCACTTCCTTCTTGAATCAACCAATAGGAATTCTTTCTGAAGCAGCCTCAAATTTTGGAAATGGTATGAAGCAAAAGAAAGAGGAATAAGTAACTTGTGTTTGATCAGGTAAATCATATGGAAGGAATAAATGAAGGAATATCGTCATAGGAAATAAGATTTTTGATGATGCTATGAAATCATAATCGGACTTTAATTCTCGGCTTCATTCGTAAGAGAAGAGGGAAATGTTGGTCTATATGTAAGCAAAGATGCCGAGATTCGCGATAAAAAGGCCCGAGAAGGGTATTCTTGAGCGTATGAAATGTAATGATCGAACTTGTTTACCTGATATTTTCTATATATTTCTTTCTTGCGTTATGTTTCGTGATTCTTGGATGAGTAGTAGACTTGAGACAGGAATACCAAAATTGTGTTTCTGGGAAGAAATATGGGGCCGTTCGTGAAGGGGTTGGCTTGAGGTTGGTAATACGGAGGAGATACTAGAAAGGAGCAGAAAAGGTTGGAGGGAGAGGATGTGCAATGATATCATATGATTTAATGGAGACAAGGAGAAAGATGAGGGAGAGGGAATTTCTGATCTGATAAGCAGATTTTTGATTAATTATTTTATCTACTACGTACATACGTACCGACTACGTACGGAGTAGATAATCTTTGCTTCATACAAATGAATTGCTAAGAAATGGAGATATGGAGATATGGGGTGCGTAAAATGAAATTGTGTGCTTGGGTGGAAACGCTTGTGCTTGAATTGAATGGGTTAATGATGGGAATTGGCCAATTAGAGAAAAGGAGCGACAGTAGATGTAGGTACAACTGGGAGAGTACGGACGGAACACAACGTGTATAATGAATTTTGTGTTTCGTTGGATGTAACTGTGATTGAAATCCCTTTAGCTTGTATACGTATTTTCCTGTCTAATAAGCATTTGGATTGAAACATAAAAATGGATATAAAAGATAAAAGAATTGGAAGGAGACCTGTATCAGGGATAGGCCGTGTTGATTCTTGGCCGTTGAAACACTCAAGACTCAAGAGGCAAAATGACCGGGTGGTTTATCAAGATTATGTGGAGAAGTCGGAGAGGAAGTGAAGGGCGGATAAATGATTTTAGTAGCCGGTGATCTTTTATGAAGGTACTGAGTACAAGGAAGAGAAGATGTAAGATCTTAGCTTTTCTATCTTTTGCATTAATTGTGCTGTAGCTCTGTGATTTAATGATTTGTAAAATAAAATAGACGGTTGATGTGTATATTGTATTGATTGATGGTCAATTATATTACTGAGGATGATAACGATGGTATTGAAGACATCAAAGTGGTGATGTGAGATGCAGATTCATATAAACTCAATTCAATATCAAGACTCTCTTACCATGGCTTTTTCCCTCTTTGTTCAACAAACCCCAGCCTTCAACTAAACCTAAATGATTTGCTTGCCGATGCTAGAATATTAGAAAGTCCCAAAGTTGAACCATATCTTCCCTAAAATGGTAGAAGATACTGTTCAGTGTCTTGAAGAGGGCAAGTTGACGGGAAGGAGTTTCTTATTTAAAAGTATACTGGTTATTATAGGAAGGTTGTAAAGTTAGAGACGGGCAACTTTTAATAGGTACAGTAGTAGGTAAATAGTAAGTCCTACATTCTACGGCTTGTCTCGGTTGACACTTTTATCTCACGACGAAGACTCAAGATGATACTCAGGTGAGGTAAGGAACTAATAATAAATAAGAACCTCTTCATTGTAGAGTGTAAATTACCAAAATATATCAAATACGAACATTGCCTCATTCCATGTACATGATTACTGTACTATGTTGTGGTGCATCAATAAATATTTACCTAGGTACACTAACTAGTATCGTCACAAATCATTAAAAATATCTTATTTTTATTCCCTTTCACATCTATATTTGTATGAAAATAACTTTCTATAACCAACCTAACCTAACCTACCTCGTAAATCTCAACTGCGCCGCTCATAAACTGTTTGTCCTTTTCAGATTGGTCAGGTCTTCGTCAGGTCAGGACTTCAGGACTCACTCGGACTCACTCAGCATACAAAGATTGGAAATCCAATCCGGGCACGGTCCATTTTAGCGGACGACAACCACCGATTCATTCTTCCTTAACCTACCTGGTATCTACTACACATTATCTCCTGTTTTGGACTTTCCAATCCTCAACTCTATAATCCTTCATTCAACATCGACATTATACGTTCGAGTTGCAGCTCATCTTAAAGCTGTGAATCTCGACATCAATGACGCAGTTATTTCACTCTTCATCCCCGAATTCTCTTCCTTCCAATAACGAGAAGCGGAATTTGTCCGGTTCCTCCATGTCGTCGAATAAGCATTCCAATGGCCATAGTCCATTTCCTCAGAAGTTGAAGAACTTCTTTCGGATAAACAGTTCAGCAAATCACAGTGAGAAGAACGATCCATCAATAAAATCAGAGAGCAAATCATCCTTTCGACAATCCAAATTCTTCCCTGGTGGCGGACGAAATCGATCAACTACTATAGCAAGTGAAGGCAATCCATTAGATGACACCCTCAGTCCAACTGCACATGCGAATCCATACTTTGCCCATCAAGGTCCTCCTGCACTTCGACATCATGATGATGGGTCGATACCCCCAAGTCCTCCCGATACCCCAAGTTTCAAAGTCGATACTGTCCAAGGCGTGAATGATCAAGCTACAGCAGCCGGCAAGGAAGAATTGGCACGAAAATTAAGAAGGGTCGCCAGTGCTCCTAATGCACAAGGCTTATTTTCAAACAAAGGTGATGCTGATCGACCAGCTACTGCCGAGCTTGGAAAGGAACCTCTAGTACATAATGCCAGCACTACGATGTTGAGTATGGTTGATGGTCAGGATGGAGAAGATGCTCTTGGCCCAGCTGTTGAAGACGACTTGGCACCTTTACAACCGCCGAGTCTGCGAAACAATCCAGCATTTAGGAGGACGTACAGCTCAAATTCCATAAAAGTACGCGATGTTGAAGTTGGACCGGGGAGTTTTGACAAGATTAAGTTGATTGGAAAGGGAGATGTTGGGAAGGTGTACTTGGTGAGAGAGAAGAAGAGCAGCAGGCTGTATGCGATGAAAGGTACGCAATATCACGATAAAGCATTGTGTACTGGCTAATTTATGTTTAGTGTTGAGCAAACAAGAGATGATCAAGCGAAATAAGATCAAGAGAGCATTAGCAGAACAAGAAATCTTGGCTACGAGTAATCATCCATTTATTGTCACCTTATATCACTCCTTTCAATCCGAGGACCATCTATATCTATGCATGGAATATTGCAGTGGTGGAGAATTCTTTAGAGCTTTACAAACCCGACCAGGCAAATGTATACCAGAAGATGATGCCAGATTTTATGCAGCCGAGGTCACTGCCGCATTGGAGTATTTACATTTGATGGGATTCATCTATCGAGATTTGAAACCTGAAAGTAAGTTGTTTCTTTTTAAGTATTAGGTGCGCAGTTCTAATGAGTTTAGATATCTTACTCCATCAATCTGGTCATATCATGTTGTCGGACTTTGATCTTTCGAAACAATCCGCCCCTGGTGGAAAACCAACAATGATTCTTGGCCGAAACGGCACGAACGTAAACTCATTACCAACGATCGATACAAAGTCATGTATAGCAAATTTCCGAACAAATTCTTTCGTTGGAACTGAAGAGTACATTGCGCCAGAAGTCATCAAGGGATGTGGACATACAAGTGCAGTTGATTGGTGGACGTTAGGAATATTGATTTATGAGATGTTGTTTGGTACAACACCTTTCAAAGGAAAGAATCGTAATGCTACATTTGCGAATATTCTGAGAGATGATGTTCCTTTCCCAGAACATTCAGGGTCTCCTCAAGTTTCAAAGTCGGTTACACTAACATGATCATTTTTCTAAATGCTGACATCTTCTAGCCTTTGTAAGTCGGTAATTAGAAAACTTCTAATCAAAGACGAAAATCGACGATTGGGGGCTCGAGCAGGAGCTTCTGATGTCAAAACTCATCCCTTCTTCCGCACAACCCAATGGGCGCTCATTAGGCATATGAAACCCCCGATGATTCCCCACCAAGGTCGCGGTATTGACACGGTCAATTTCAGAAATGTTAAAGAAAGTGAGAGTGTTGATATTAGTGGAGCAAGAACTTTGACATCATCTAAAGGAGTGCCACTTGATTCTGGCTTGGCAACGCCAGGTGCTGCTGAACTCGAGGTCGATCCATTTGAAGAATTTAACAGTGTCACACTGCATCATGATGGTGATGATCATCATCAACACGAAGATCAACATAATGGAAGATATGACGGTAGGTGATTGTAGGATCTGGCGTTTGCTATGCCGGAGGAAAATGTTTATCGTCTATACTATATGATGGATTTTTAGAGCAGTCGCTTGGATGATTGATAGCACCAAAAACTTCTCGCGAGCATATTTTAATAAGCTATTTCTTTGAATGGGAGAACCGGATGATTTCAATACATGGCATGCGTTTTGATATTCGGTGGAAGACCAGTGTTTTCAAGAAAAGACACTATACGAGATTAACACTACACAAATTTTACCTGTTTCTCTTTGTAAATACTGAATTTGGGAGATGGGAACAGAAAGAACAGGGATAGGTAATTGGAATTTGGAACTTTTGAGGCAAAGGGTAAAAGAATTTAAGAACTTGTGTTGTTTGTTTTTTGTTTTGTTTTTTTTTTCTTTCTGAATTTTCAGTCCGTTGTTTGGACTGTGTTTATTAGCAAAGATTGGGATTCATTGTGGGATATGGTGCGTACAGGGCAAAGAGACTGGCGTACTGCTGTTATTGTTTTTGTTTTGATGGCTACTACTATGACTGGGAGGGAGATGGAGATGGAGATGGAGATGGGTGAGGGGTGATGGAGATGGGTATGGAGAAGGTAGAAGGTGGTGTGTAAAGTGGGCAGGCGGCGAAGAGGGGCGATTGGATTGGATTGGATGGGATGGGTGATGGATGAATTGATCGATAGGTTGATAGAAATTCTACATCTTGTGCTATGAAGGGGCTGGTTCGTCTAGGCAAATGTGCATCTGATAAGTGAGAGAGCTAGGTCCCAAAAATTGTGACGCTAAGCCTTGTCGCATCTCATCACGTGTTTGGCATCTCAACACTCAGAGAGGAGGGTGCGAGTTCGTTCCTACCCCGTCGCTGAGTGGGCAAGCAATCGCGTCACGGACTCTCTTTCGCGTATTCACATGGAGTTTGAAAATCTACACGGATACGTTTCCCAATACTTCACCCAACCACCCATCCAATCCAGCCAGCCGCATAAACTAATTCCCCAGCTCACCATCCACTGTCCATTCAAATCAAAGAGAACAAAACCATTGGACACTACCATCGAGAGGTCCCCGCACCCTCACCCCCACTCCCACCACATCACATCACATCTTTCAGCCCCAAGTGAACCCAGTTCGGTCCTCTGTACAGATCCAAATCCAAATCCAAATCCAAATCCACCAAAATTCAAAACTACTCGAACCACTTGTCATATTTCTAGTTGAGGAGCCCGTGGAGACCTACTAAATTACTCCACCACTTCATCAGTGCAGCAGTGATGAGTGATATACAGGGAGTGAGGGAGGGAGGGAGTCTTTTTTAAGTTTATCTTTTATCTTTTATTTATTTTTTAATTTTTTACCTCACATGAAGTTTCATGCTAGAGCGACAATTTTACAATTTTAATCTTCTTCTACTTCTGCTGTTTGCTAAATGTCTAGTTATTGCACTCAGATGATTCGCTAGCTAGGTACTTATTATGCCTATCGTTCGGCGATTCAAACGAGCTATTTGCTTAGTCAAAGATTGCTTTTCTGTCATTCTGGTCATTCTGATCCCCTTGATACAGCGAGTCCTAGATCTGTATCTATTGGGGGAAATAAAGAATCTTTGAAACAGAGCGATAATGATGGAATTGGCATAAGTGCACCAAAATCTGGGCACGATGATCTGGCTTCTTCAATAACAGACCCTTCGACTGCCATCTCAAAACGATCCCAGGTCTCATGGAAAAGTGACTTCTGGCTACAAGCTTCCGAAAAGCTGCAGACCAAGGATCCGGAACTGGTAAGCAATGACATTTTCCTCGTCCAGATCTACTTCGTTCCGAATGTTACTTTCGTCCAACTGATTTCGCCACATTTAGTTTGAACGCTACTGATTTATAATATGCCGTGAAGAGGCCAAGAGCGACGATATTAACTCGAACAAGGCTCCGAAAATCTTAGCGGATACGGCGACGCTTCTAGAAGTCTGCAAGACTAGTCTGGAATCCATGAATTCCACAAGTAGTAGAGCGGGCAAAGTTCTTGAGAAGACAGTCAAGATCGTGGGATTAGCTAAAGACCTCGTGGGATCTGCCGTCAGTGCTGAACCACATGCGACCATTGCTTGGGCAGGCGTTTGTCTTTTTCTTCCGGTATGTTGTGTCATAACTCACGCCTGGTTTTCAGATTCTTTTGTTCTCCCTTTCATAATCTTCAAAGTTTATATATAGTCTGCTAACAAGACTTGAGCTCCTACTCAATCCTTCCCAACAAGACGATGCTCGTCGTAAAGGTCTCGAAGAATTACCTTTCCTCATCGAAAAGTACAGCCTCATCGAGAGAATTTGCACAACTAAAATTTCAAATCCGGAGTCGGCGAGCATACAACATACATTGTCAAACGCAATCGTTGAACTGTATACAAAAATACTCAGTTTCCAGGCTGAAGCTATATGTCAATCAAATCAGTCGATGGTCAAAGGTTATTTCCGGAAAGTTTTCCAAGTAGATAATTGGGAAAATATGCACCATGATATCATAAGTACAGAAGGCCGATGCTGGGGCTTAGCTCAAGCTATCGACGGCGATTTTTGTAGTAAGTCATTAGAGGACTTCAGTATCAAATTGGCAGAGTTATATACCGTTGGGTGAGTTGTTGTAGCCATTGTCTGAAGATTTGGTTGCGCTGACGGGTACTTAGTTCAGAGTTCCTTCAAGCCTCAAGGCAAACCTGCCAGGCTGTTATTAATCTTGGGCGAGAATCTGAGCAGCGCGAAAAAACCAAAGAAGAAGAGGCATGTTTGCAAGCCTTTCGTTCGGGAAATCTATATGAGGAACAAAAGAATATTACTCCAGATCGAGTACCAGGCACATGCAATTGGCTATTGAAGGATTCAACTTTCATTGATTGGAAACAAGGGCGAGGGTCGGGTTTGCTCTGGATTTCTGCAGATCCAGGATGCGGAAAATCAGTCTTGTCCAAAGCCTTTGTTGATGATAGACTGGTGGCAGCGACCCAGAGTACTGTCATTTGTTATTTTTTCTTCAAGGATGTCTCTGTCTATCAACGGAGCCCGACCAAGGCCATTGCAGCATTACTCCATCAGATATTTTCATCTAAGACCACCGAGCATCTCTTAGGGCATGCTATGAAGGTCTGGAAAGCGGATGGCAAAGAGCTCTGCAATATAGCAGACAGCATGTGGGCTATTCCAGGAGCTATTGCTGCCGATCCAACTGCGGGAGATATTTTTTGTGTCATCGATGCGCTGGACGAATGCGACGGTGTACTTTGGGATTACTTCGTTAGAAAATTGACTAGACTAGTGTCTCGGGGGACTCAGTGTCATATCAGATTTGTAGTTACGAGTCGGCCCTACCACGAAATACAAGGTATATTTGAGGAGCTTCAAATTGACTCCGAGTCATCTTTCCTCCGAATTGCAGGCGAAGAAGAATCTGAGGCTATATCAAGTGATATAGAGATGGTCATAAAACACAAATTTCTTAGACTACCCAAATTGAATGATGTTACTAAGCAACATCTTATCAACCGGCTACAAAAAATGCAGAATAAAACCTACTTGTGGCTCTACCTGATTTGGGAGATCATCACAACTGAAGCAAGTATCACTGGCCGTCACGAGAATTTCGATAAAGTTCTCGACAAATTACCAGACGGTGTGGGGAACGCGTAAGTTTCATAAACAGCCTTGCGCTGTAGATATCATTGTAGCTAATCTCATCCCAGATATGAGGCGATATTGAATAAAAGTCCTGATAGGTCAAGAACCGAGAAACTACTCCACGTCGTTGTTGGAGCAGAGCGCCCTCTGACTACCGAGGAAATAAATGTCGTGATGCACATCAACGTGGATTATACTGGAACACAATCATTCAAGCATGCTCCGCTGGAAGACGCCCATGATTATCCTGCTATTCTCCGTAGTCTTTGCGGACTCTTCATACGCATCGAGGGGGGAAAAGTGTATCTCATACACCAGACAGCCAAAGAATTTCTGGTTGAAACACAGTCCGAAAAGAGAAAAGAAATTTTTTGGAAGCACTGTCTGCAACCAGATACATCTCACAGACTTCTAGCTGAAGCGTGCATTTCCTATCTATTTCTTGACGGTTTTGACGCTTCTTCTGATACACATTATGGGATTGATAAACATCTAAGAACAATTAGAGCAAAAAGATTAGGCTGTTTTTTAGATTATTCTGCATCTTTCTGGACTGTGCACTATAAACGTGCAGCATCTTTCATTGATCATGCCACCATTGTCAAATATTGTTCACCCTTGAATCGCCGCAAAATTTGGCACCGTATGAATTCAAACACTGACTACACTGACGACACTGATGACGCTGACGACACTGACGCTGACGACACTGAAGCTGACACTGACGACAGTTGGGGTTTCTCTATGTATACCTTTTCTAAAAGCTTCAAACCCATTGATGCAACATCCCTCATGTTAATTTCATATCTCAATCTTTACGAAGCGGGTAGTCACATTCTTTCCGCCCCAGGTTTTGACAAACACGAATTAGAAGCAAGCAACGGCTTATTCACTCCATTAATCCTTGCCATAGGGAATGGAAGCATTGAAATGGTACGTTTAAGTTCAATGCTGCTTGTACCTTTTCAAACTGTAACATGACGCAGGTGCAACTGTTGATCCAGAGTGGTGCTGATGCAAACTATTACCTGAATAGTGACTGCACACCTCTTGAGGTAGCAGTCCAAGTTGCCGATCTTGCGATTTTGCAGTCCGTTTTGGAAGTCGCAGTTGATGAAAGAACGGGCGATTCTTTTCTTAAGTCGGCCCTAGAATCAGCTATCTTGGGCTCAGAAGGCGATGAAATTTACATATACGATGTTATTCCAATGCTTCTCAATTCAATTGTGCGTCCCATGGTCGAAGGATACCTTGAATATGCACCGCAGCTTGCTGTAGAACTCGAGAGTCTTGAGATTGTGGAATTGCTAATAAACGCTGGGGCAGATCCAAATTACGAAATCATGGGAAAAGGACGTTGGTGCATCCTGAACGAAGTCCAAATATTTTACTGGGGACGGGACGCTGCTGGTATTGCCGACATCGTAAAATTACTCTTATCGAAAACGGAGACGCTACCTTGTGAGTTTGTGGAAAGCCAGTTGATCAAATACGCGGATGTTGTGTCCGATAAAGTTGATTTGTTGCGGCTAATGTTGAATCATCCTCGCCATCATGGGCTCATACTTGATGGAAGGCAGTCGCCAGTAGTATTCGCAGCATTGTATGCCAACATGAAATCCATGGAACCTTTAATAAATGGGCCTCATGATATTAACAAGTGCAAGGCAGTCATGGACTGGGATAAAATTTATGAGGCATGGAAGTTTGTGGTAAAAAAAGTGAGGTTTGCGGTAAAAAAAAGGCGAGGCGGAATGCCGACGCCGGAGACCCAGAACCAGACCCAGACTCCGTAGGCGTTGAAGTATATGCATTGTTTGGAGGAATAATTTCCACAGATGAAAAGATTGTCGAACATTTGATTGTCGATGGAGCTGATGTCAACATGATTACGGAGCTTGGAACGCCTCTATTCGTTGCAGCGGCCCTTTCTAGCAAATCAGTGGTTCGACAACTAATTGATAAAGGAGCTCAAATTAGCCCACTTGATGATGAAGGGATAGAGCAGCCCTCACCTCTGGTTATTGCTGCTGCCAGGGGAGATATTGAAATCGTGAAAGTGCTGTTGAAGGCCGATGCAAGGATCGACAAAGGGTTCGCAACTCTCCTTTCTATCTTTAATCACAAAAAGGGTATTGAGGGGAGGTTCTATCCTTCTGCGATTGCAGCTGCGGAGATGGAAGGTCATAAAGAGATGGTTAGATTTCTGCAGGAATATAAAGCTAAGAATGACATCGCAGAGCCGGAGGGGGTTGACAATGTGATGAAGCCGGGGCAAAATTGAAGAGTTGGAAGATGATTGATTGCGTGTATTAATGCTGGGGGATAATAATTATTTCATGTTTTTCATTTCAGTAGGACGTTGGGGAAATTTCAAGCATTTAATTTACTCTGTGAAGCTCTTTTTTATTGGAGAATATACCATTATCATTAGGAAAATAACGATCGTACTTACAAATACTCTCTCCAGCTTGAAAAGAAATATATCAACAAATCTTGACCATTTACTATATTTATACATACATACATCCAGATATTACCCATCACAAATTAAGTACATCTTAGAATTGTACATCACCCATCTCTTTCAATCCTCCTTGCATCGCAAGGATACAGGATACAGGATACTGCGAGCAATACGCACATTCTCAACTTCCCAAGTACTTAACATTGTAAGATTATAACTTTCAGCTGTAACATGTTCTTTTCAAGTATATATATATATATATACCTGTACGTACTTTTATTATCACAAATCTATATCTGAGAGTAGAGTAAATATCTTAATAGAAATTGAATTTTTTTTTTTAAAAAAAAAATCTTAATTTTTCTTTTGAATATTCTTGTGGACGGGAATTCGTTGGATAAATTCTTTTTTTTTTTTTTTTTTTTTTTTTTTTTTGGTTTATGGTATTTGTTTGTAGAGTAATTAAGTGGTGGTTGATTATATGGAGTTGAAAGTAGAAAAGTAGGAAATGGAAAGGGAAAGGGAAAGGGAATTGTGAGGTTGGGGGTTGGGGGTTGAGGGTTGATGTCTATTAAGTATAATTTTAATTATAATTTTAATTTGAGTGTTGGTTATTTGTTATGGGATGTGTGTATTATATATATAATATTGTAAGTCTTATTATGTATTGTATTGTGATGTATTGTAAGGTAATAGATTGCAGAGCTAAAGCTAAAGTCGTATATTATGATAGGTATATAGAAATACGGTGTAATATTTACCCACCCTTCAATAAATACCCTTTTGAACTATTAGACAGATAGAGAGATAGAGAGGGAGATAGATAGATAAGTATAGAGTGATTCATTTCATCGTGACATAAATTCGTAATATGTGCTGTTTATTTACTTGCTTCTCTGCTCTGCTCTAGGAGCTTTTCTTTTCTTATTCCTTCGAAATAGTAGGCATTCATTTTATTAGCAAATGCACACAAATCCATCCACCACCATCGATTAAAAAGCAGCAGCAGTATACGAAACGAACGGATGAAAAGCCCGATGAGCTCCTCATCTCCTTCGTCCCCTTCCCGAACTAGGCACACTCATCAGTTCAAAAGCATCATCACCATCCTCACTAATCTCATCATCACTCAACTCCAGCACCTGTTTTTTTCTTCCCGTCGCCTGACTCGCCCCACTCGCCTGCGAAAAATTCAACTGCGTCTGTCTTCCCCTCGTAGCAGCCGCTCTCTTCGGTTGAGTCTTCGTTTTACTTGGAGGAGGGGGCGCTTCCTCCATTTCTACATCTTCGTCTTCGTCATCGCTTGGTTCGGGTTCTGGGGCCTTTTTTCTGCCTCTTGTGGTGGTGGGTTTAGCTGGGGCTTTTTTGGGTGGTGGGGGTTTTTTGGCGGGGGCACGTTTAGCGGGTGTTTTTTTAGTAGAGGGTTTAGGGTCTTCTTCTGCGGCTTCTGCGAAGGGATCATCGGAATCGTCGTCGCTGATTATAAATCCACTTTTGGTTTTTCCGTTTCCACTTTTGGGCGGAGGAGCAGGTGGTGCGTCGTCACTATCATCATTATCTTCTCCATGATCAGTCTCGCAATGTTCGACTTTTTCACCCCATTCCCCATCGAGATCTGAGTCGAAATCTGCGGGTCTGGGTTTAGGTTTGAGTTTTTTGACGGGTTTGTGAGACTTGTTTCCTGATCGGGCCGCGAGTGCTTCTTGCTGGGCGCGAAACTTTTCCATAGCAGCATTCAGATATTCATCTTCGTCTCCAACTTCGTTGTCAGCGCCATTGGCTTGTTTGATTAGTTCTTCAACTTGTGCTTTGAGGGATTTTTGTACAAAGATTTCCATGGCGTGGCGATCATCCTTATCAACGAATTGACCTACGGCGTCACCGAAAGGGGTGGTGGGAAGGACTTGAAGGGATTGCTTCTCGAGGAACTCCTTGACCAATAGCTCGACTTTGACATCGTCGAACCCAGCAACTTGGGCAAGAGTTCCCTCTTCTGGGAGGTCAATTTCGGTGGCGGATTTACGAGTTGAGCTGGCTTTTTTGCGGTGGTATTGAATTACGTCTTTTATATTTGCAACGCGGTTGATGAAACGACTAGAGAACCGTTGTGGATTTTCACAATCAAATTTGCCGCCTTCTGGGGCAGTAAACTCGACCTTTAACCGAACTAGAGGCAGAGGGATTTCATCGAGTTCATCTTCTGGCTCGTCTTGAAGGGAAATCCATTCGGCGCGTGCTTGGTCTATAAGCTCATCCACAATGGTCATGAGTTCTTTGGTAAGTTTAGTGCGATTATCCTTAACTTTGGCAAGATGTTTAGTTCGCTTGTCGGTGGCGAGAACGACTTCTTTCGTTATAAACGGCCTAACAGACTTGAGACGTATCTTTTCGATTTTGAATTCTCGACCGGTGATACTGGCGATAGCGATATGTTTTGGAACAGCTTCACCAGGTACTAAAGATGTTGCTACCGATGATCCTGGTTGCATGACGTGAAAGCATTTTTCGGGATTGTAAGTCGGATCAATAAGACATTCATGCTCGTGCCCCCAGACAACCAAATCTAAGAAATCAGGAAGAAAGTTTTCCGGCAAATATGAAGTATCAGTGTGAGCGTGGTGATTTTGATGAACTGCCATGATATTGAACCAATCCTTTTTTTGTACTCCTGGTTTGAACCATTTAACATGACCATCTCTGAATGTACGATAAAGACGCTCATCTCTCACATTACTCATGCCATATAAAGCCAATTTTGTTTGACCTTTCTGTAGAAGTACTGGCTTGATTTGGATACGATCAGCTTCAGGTGTTCGACCAAAGTAATTGACCAATCCGGAAGCTTGTAGTAAATCCAAAGCACAATAATTCCCATCTCCAGCGGGATCGTCATGATTTCCATGAATAGAGAAAACCGGTATTGCAACATTTATATCTGGATCCTCATAATTGACATGATTGAATGATCCGTCAAAAATATCATTTGCATCGCTCAGTAACTCCAACTCGCATGGTTTTTCTCCAAGGCAATTCATTCGCAGTGATCGCATGACTTGGTACATGGCTTTACGAGAAGGTTGACTGTAATGGAAGAGATCACCGGCGAGTAGAACCATATCTACATCTCGATCTTTTGCTAGGCGCATAACTTCATCGAAACTTCTCCAACTGTCATCCTTGCGCACAGCATCATTCTCTGCGTATCCTACATGACTGTCCGTGGCAATAAGTATCCTAATCGTATCTGCTGCTACAGAGAAGTTAATAAACTAATTAATACTTTCAAGGGAAATAACCTACCTGTAAAAGTCGGCATCTTGGCCACTCTATACTCTATGTGAATCTCCCCAAAATGGTTGCAGTTATCTCGACTTATCGCAGACTCAGAAACCACTTAAAAGAGATCAAGAATATCAAAAACACGAGATAAGCAATGGTTCATGTAGATTTCCGCTCAAAATCGCGGTCTCAATTAAAATTCAATGTTCTTGGTTGCCTGCAGTTTTTGGGAGACGCGATCTGGATTAGCGTGTTTTATCCCTGCAAAATGCGAGCACTTAGAAATTTGCCAGACGACAAAGAGTTGCCATAATTTGATTAAAAGACAATTTGATATCAATTTAACAGCACAATGTTTCCCAGCAAAGTTCTACTTGCGCGGTCGGTCTGGAAAGGTATGTTTCATCCAATTCCTCCCAAGCTAGTAAAAATTACTAAGACATGTTCTAGGCCCCAATATCGTCCCGTGAGATGTCCCCCGCAGATTCTATAACTTCTCTAATCACCCCTCACCAGTCTTCCAATTGTCAAAGCCGTACCAGGTGTACGAACACAGCCGATAAGAACCCAAGCAAGATCTGCGACTATTCTACCTAACTTTGTGGGATTGACGTTTGAAATTCACAATGGAAAGGTTTATAATGAGGTGACGATTACGGAGGATATGGTGGGACATAAGTTGGGGGAATTCTCGGCGTATGTTGTAAAGATTTGGAAGAGGGGAATCAGAGGCTAATCTATGGATAGGACGAGGAAACGATTTACTTATAAGCAGAGTAAGAATAAGTAGATCGGAAAGTGTTCATGGTATGATATGGCATGGCAAGGCGTTTTGGGTTGGGAGAAAGTCTTTGGGGTCGGGATGTACATTTTTGTGTATATTGTGTATGACAAACGAGCTAGTGGGGAATGAGGACAGTGGAACGGCTATGGCAGTCTACTTCTCAAGAAATCATGCCAATGACTATAAAAATGTTACTGCAGAGGAATCGTTGCAGCTACACGGCCGAATAACAGCTCAAGCCTCTAGCATTGAAGCATAACTTCGAGGTCATCAAAAGCTCGATCAAAGGCCGACCAAATTCAGTGGTCCTCACAAGACATGCACCTAACTCCACACATCCTATAAAATGAAACGCAACGTCTACGAAATGAGATATATTTCTGGCAATCTCTGTACCTGGAATATAGAAACGTTATACAATTTCATGAAGTGTCGTTCTCCGTAGACACTTATACCTTCTTCATAAATAATGATCATTTGTAACGCCACTGAACCCCCCATCCCAACCTTATTATGCCTTATGATGCCGTGAATTTAGCGATAGAACTCCCCGCGCTTTACATTAACGCCATATTCTCCCACAGCCATACCCAAATCTTCCATTGTAAGGACCGTTCGGTTTTGACTACCTCCTTGTCCACCACCACCAAAACCAGGTCTCTGAATACCTAAAGGTCCTCCACGTCCCTGCTGGTCCTTGCCTCCTGTCGCACCAGCAGGTTGCTGACCTGGAATTGGGAAACCAGCTGCAGCACCCAAGTTCCCCATAGGATTATTGGCACTTGAGGAATTCGAAGACCGAATGCGTGAATATTGATAAGCATCGGCCGCGATATCAGCAATGAACTTTTGGGTCGCAAGTGCAAGCAGACGGGCTAGACGCGCATCTGTCTGTGGTGGGGGTGGAAGACCAGCTTTTGTGAGATAATAGTTTGTCACTGCATCAGGAATCTACGAACAAGGGTTAGACAATGGGATGAGATACAATACTAAACAAGCAAGTCTTACGATTGGAGCATAATCATCCATCTTCCCAAGGAACTCTTTCAATGAGATATCCTTTTTGGTTGGAAGCTTGGGTTCTTGTGGTGACGAATCATTTTCAACTGCGTCTTCTTCTTGTTTAATAGGAACAAGATCCAAAGCGGGATCTGGAGATGGTGCAGCCATAATTATTATTCTGGATAGATTTTGACTATCCTATAATGATTTATAAGTTGTGACCTTTACAACATTCGCAATATCTTAAGTATCAATCATGGGTAGGTTTAAGCTTTACATATCCGGTACCTGAACCAAAAAGCGGTGACTTTGAATCCATTCTAGCGTAATTCAACAATCCTGTAGCATATCGATAACTTTTCTATCTGCAATATTTTGCGTGAATTCTCATCAGCCTTGTGCGCAAAGCTTGGAAAAGTAAACACAACAACAAACAATCCTTGATCAGCTTTCAACAATGGCTGACCGTCGTCCAGAAGAACCAGAAATGTCTCGAGCAAAGCGTCCAAGAACCGAAGATATGGATCCAAAGTCGAATCCGTATTTGGCGCATATGTATGAGGAGGAAAGTAATGGCTGGGGCAATGGTTCGAATGGTACTGGATCTGGACTATCGAATTTCAAGCGCCATCAAACGACTGCTGCACAGGCACATGAAGCGGAAGATGGTCCTTCGAATCCTTTTAATGATAAGCCTCTCTCCAAACAGTATTTCAATATCTTGAAGACTCGAAGAGATTTGCCTGTGCACAAGCAAAGGTAAGATATTAAATTGCCTGAGAAGCTGCCAATTAGTTGCTAACCACTTTGTAGACAGGAGTTCCTTGATATGTTCCAAAAGACCCAAATCCTGGTCTTCGTCGGTGAAACTGGTTCTGGTAAAACAACACAAATTCCTCAATTCGTCCTCTACGATGATCTACCTCACCTCAGTGGCAAGCTCGTCGCTTGTACACAACCTCGTCGAGTAGCAGCTATGTCAGTAGCACAGCGTGTGGCGAACGAAATGGATGTGAAATTGGGAGATGAAGTCGGATATAGCATTCGTTTCGAGGATGTGACGAGTTCGAAAACCATACTCAAATATATGACTGATGGTATGCTTCTGAGAGAAGCAATGCATGATCACAATTTGACGAGATATAGCTGCATCATTCTTGATGAAGCTCACGAACGTACTTTGGCCACAGATATTTTAATGGGTTTGTTAAAAGAAGTGGCACTTAGACGACCGGATTTAAAGATTGTTATTATGTCTGCTACACTTGATGCACAAAAGTTCCAAAAATACTTCAACGATGCTCCGCTTCTAGCAGTACCTGGACGAACACATCCGGTCGAGATCTTTTACACACCAGAGCCAGAAAGAGATTATGTTGAGGCGGCACTCCGAACAGTTTTACAGATCCACGCCACCGAAGGCGAGGGAGATATTTTGCTGTTCTTGACTGGTGAAGAGGAAATTGAAGATGCATGTCGGAAAATATCATTAGAAGCAGATGAGATGATTAGAGAAGCAGATGCAGGTCCATTAAAGGTGTATCCACTTTACGGTACATTACCACCGGCACAACAACAGAGGATTTTTGAGCCAGCACCACAGCCATTGAGGCCCGGTGGACGTCCAGGACGAAAGGTCATTGTAGGAACAAATATTGCAGAAACATCCTTGACAATTGACGGTATCGTGTACGTCGTTGACCCCGGATTCAGTAAACAAAAGGTCTACAATCCAAGAATTCGAGTCGAATCCCTTCTTGTTTCGCCTATCTCAAAAGCATCCGCACAACAGCGAGCTGGTCGTGCTGGTCGTACAAGACCTGGTAAATGTTTCAGATTATATACTGAGGCAGCTTTTAAGAAAGAACTCATCGAACAAACGTATCCCGAAATTCTTCGATCGAATTTGGCCAACACTGTCTTGGAATTGAAGAAACTTGGTATTGATGATTTAGTACATTTCGATCTTATGGATCCACCAGCTCCAGAAACACTCATGCGAGCACTCGAGGAACTCAACTACCTTGCCTGTCTGGATGATGATGGAAACCTCACACAACTAGGCAAACTTGCCTCAGAGTTCCCTCTCGACCCTGCCCTTGCCGTAATGCTCATTTCATCCCCAGAATTCTATTGTTCGAACGAAATTCTCTCGCTTACTGCTCTCCTCTCTGTTCCTCAAATTTTCGTCCGCCCCGCTTCAGCCAGGAAACGCGCCGATGAAATGAAAGATCTCTTCGCTCACCCTGACGGAGATCACTTAACCATGCTCAATGTCTACCACGCTTTCAAGGGCGAAAATGCTCAAGCGGACCCTAAACGCTGGTGCCATGAACATTTCCTCTCTCTTAGAGCTCTTCAGTCAGCTGATAACGTCCGCCAACAACTTAAGCGCATCATGGAAAAATCCGAACTCGATCTTGTATCCACAGATTTCAATGATAAATCTTACTATACCAATATCCGACGTGCACTCGTAGCAGGTTTCTTCATGCAAGTTGCCAAGAAGGAGGCGACAGGCAAAACATACAAAACCGTTAAGGATGATCAAAGTGTGTTATTACATCCTAGTACAGTATTGAAACAGGATGCCGAATGGGTGTTGTATAATGAGTTCGTGCTTACGACGAAAAATTACGTGAGAACTGTAACGGCTATTAGACCGGAGTGGTTATTGGTATGTTTGTTCTTTTCTTCGATGCTGATTTTAGTCTAGCCCCTCATCCATCTCAACTATCATCATATGAATAGACATAAGCTAATTCAAAGCAGGACATTGCGCCAACATACTACGATATTCCAACCTTTGAGAAAGGAGAAATTAAAACAGCCTTAATTCGTGCTCAAGATAAGATTAAGAGGAAGCAAGCTATGAAAGGTGGGAGATAGGCGCTAAGGCTCTATGTTACGGCTTAAGGCATTCATTCCTTATGTCTAATAAGCCTACCCTAGAGTATCAATGATATGCTAGTTATTGACATCTACGGACCAAGGACCAAGGAAAAACACATATGTCAAATAATGCGATTGAGGAGTTGAGTTATGCTTGTAGACTTTTAAGATCATAAAGAAGATTACGAGGGGCGGCAATCCTCTTGGCACAGAAAGAGCTCATTGGGAGAAATTTACATGTGTGAGGAAGGACACATTTACTCATTGAAATTACTAGAAAGCGTCGGAGATCAGTTAGAACGAAGGTGGAGGTGAACTAAGACTTTTGCGTACTTGCTATTTTACACCTAGATTCGCATATACAATAGATATATCATGAAAGGGAAGGATGAGGAAAAGAAGAATAATTGAGGCAACTACATACTACTTTGACACCGTGTATCGGGCAGACTATACAACCATGATATAATATAATATGATGTGATGTGATATGAAATCATTGTTTCCGAGTAGTAAGTTGATAAAGTTGTTTCTCCGTGTTTATTACATTGAAGATTTTGAGATTGGAGTTGAATCAAATATACTAGAGGTGAAGCGATACTTTCGGAGAAGTTTTTGTGTTATGTTATGGGATAGAGGAAGTGGTAAAGGGTTTTGAGTGAGATATGGTGTGATATTTGCTGGATTAGAGAAAGGGAGCTAGAGAGGGGGGGCTATTCGGAGTATTTATGTTGGGATAACCTTAGATTTCACAGGTGAAATCGGGAGTAAAGTCATAAATATCTTACCTGGTGTGAGGTGGATAGGGAGAAGAAGTTATTGGGGCGAAGGGTAGTCAAGAGGTTGAAGCTAGGTAGCTATATGGATATTTGCTGTGGCTATAAATGCTTTCTTATACAGGGCGTTGAGGAAGATTGCAGTTGTTTGCCTTGTTCATTTCTTCAAAGGGTAAGTCTTAGTAATATGCTGGATACTCTACGGATCCAACGTAAGGTTACTTTTGATATCCGAAGATATCTTCACGATCTAGCTAGAGATTTTGTATTAACTATACGAAATATCTTGAAGGATACTAGGACAGAATATTCGTTGTGATCTGAAAATTCTATTCGCCGGGAATGGAGTGACTAAAGAATTTGGGATATCAGAAATGGATGTAAGAGAGTGGGAGTGAGAATACATGGGATCAGGATCGATTGGGTAAATACAGAAGTAGGAAGTGATCAAAGGAAAGCGTTGTTGTGGGAATGCTGGGATATTTATGGAAGATTAGGGTTGAAGACTACATATGGGAGAGATTGTGTGAACAAAAGAAGCGAAATATAATACATTCCTGGAAAAGAACTTTAGGGTGAACGTTTTGTATAGCGAGGCCGGGGTAAAATAGTAAATAAGTAAGATGGATTCCCGTGAGAGCAATGCATAGGTAAAGTGCCACTTGATTAGGTATAGCAATCTAGAAGTACCTGTGCGAGATTTGGCTATAACACTTGAATGGGGAATCTTCGAGCTTACGCCGAACTACCTAAAGACATTACTGATGTGATAATCCTTAGCAGAACAAGGTGCTATTAGGGAGAAGGAAGTGTCAAATTTACATATATTGTGGAGTGGCACGCGATGTGCTGTGATGTGATGTATGAACTACATCATGAATTCCAGGCACATAAAAATAATATTGCTCTGATACTATTCGACCCAAGGTCGCATCAAATTAGAGTGTGACAATTAACTGGCATTTATACCGCGTTTACAGCGCGAATGAACGATACATAATAACGAAATTTTAGGATCGAATTCATCAACAAGTATCTCGGTTCGCTTTTCAACTAGCAGACAACGACTTTTGACAAAATCTCAACTGATAAAGCATGCATGGTATTGATTTCTCGTAGGAGTGGGAAGGAAGTTTGTGTCTTTTGAGTATTGGTTACTAACCAAGAGCTATAATTACTCTGTGGGTATCTGTAGCTGTAGTATCCAGTGACTGGACAGGGTATAATGATATTCCCTCTCGGAATTTGAGCGAGTGCAGTCAGGTGGTTCAAGAACTACACTGCGATATTCTTCATGTACCTGAGGTATACTTAAGATCCGTAAAGAGTGATTATCCCGAAGATAAAATGCAATCTTGTACAGTGCCGTGGATGAAAGTACATTTTTAATTTAAATGTTTTCCCAATTCCGAAGTATATCCAACCCGAGTTCTAGAGTTATGTGGAATATAGGAATGACGTTGAGGTATGGAAATACACCATACGCAGTATCCTTGCAGGGTAGATGACCCTGTTTTAGAATCTAGAGGCCATACAAAAGCAAGTCGCGTTAAGGTGGCAGAAACTGACCTTCGAATTGAGAAATCTGAGACGATGTATTCGACATCAAGCACAGCAGCCCCTAAGCAATAGAAAGTTTACCATTGAAGTCCTAGAAAGTTAATCTGCAAAGATTTCGACTGAGCCAAAGATGACCAGTGATAAGGTGCAATTATTAGACGTTGAACGTAGAAATTAGGTTTTTCTGATAAAGCCAAGAACGGGATTGGGCAGTAAATCCTCAATCCTCAATAATATCAGCCAGGGCCAAACAAGGTCCTCGATCCCCCACAATTCGGTACCCTCCGATGTTGGGATGTGCTTCCTACACATTCGCAACAAGTTCCGAGGAAATGGTCCACTAGGAATTAAGCCCATTATTGAAGAGATGCACGTTCAACGAATTGGGATATCCGCGAAAATCTTGCATAAGAATGGCGCATGTATCTTCGATCGACATCGCGCCGTTCCGTCCATTTGCATCATCATAAGTATGCATGTGGCCTTAAAGTAGTATTTCGGCTGGTCCATTGTTTCGGAAAACTATTTTATGTTGAGATAGATAAATGGAAACTATCCGTTCATGGTTTTCTTTTTTGAAGGATATGGTAGCAACAAAAACGATAACACTGTATTCAAGAATAAACTCAGCGAAGGCAGAAAAAAATAATGCGAAAGATTTTTTCAACTGAATGAAATCTGGCCAATACCCTTATCGGCAAGGAAATATTCGGAACACGTGTGTCCCTGGATCATGAATTTAGGCTAATAAAGCTATAAGAACGTTTTCTTGGTTGAGGTTGAAGAAGCGCCAATGCTATCCGAAGACACCTTTATTAGAAGAACGCTTGAACTGGCACCCCTAAAAGAAGAACTTGGGCTGCCTTTTTGGAAAGCCAACTGGGATTTGGGGTTCATAAGTGGCGGAAAGAAGCGGGACAAGGTAGATATCTACTATGGCCTTCAAAGAGTTTGTAAGTCCGGTTTGTCGCGTTCGTGACCAGTTAACTGGTCCTTGGGCACATGCAAGGCGCCAAATGAAAATTGACACTGACACTTGACATTTTACGAAATTGTCCATCAGCCTTCTGGAATGAGTTTTTAACCATACGATGAAGGAAAAACACGATGATTGGTGCAACTACTACTCGAAAACGCCGTAATGCAATGCCGGGTTTTTTATTAGACTGTAGAGTCATGGCACTATGGCTGATGCTAGGCGAGAATCCAAGAGCTGTCGACCAACATAGCACTCTGCAGAACAGAGAATCCGTCTTGATAGTTTTGGCACACGCCATTATGCGCTTTAGATATTTATCGTATCACATCATTGTACCCGCAATGAAGGGAACTGCTTCGAGCTGTTTTGGGGAATGGCCTCTTTTAAATGCAATGCTTTCTCTATGCGTGGTTTTGCATCTATGAAGGTTGCCGAAAAGAACGATTGCTTGACTCGGAGATTGGGCAGCTCATCGTAGGAAAACCAAGAAACCGTGTGATTATGCATGGGACAGCAGCTTAAACGTGTGAGCTTGCGATAATCGTATAATCAATATGCACATCGTGCAGGACCATTTGTAGCCCATGATAAATATGCAAATGTGACACTTTCGTCCCCGGTATTTAGAAGCCACAGGCCGGAAGATTGGGCCGAATTCTCTTCAAATGCCGTCATTTTGAAAAGTCCATCAGTACCTAAGTAGTTCAGAACTCCACCGATATCTCGGTAGTTGGGGGGAATCTATGAAACGGATCGTGGTAATAGAAGGCACAGCAGCCGCGGTGTAATCTGTTCTAGTGTCAAAAATAGCAATCCAGGTTTCTGGAAGTAATCCAAAAGATATCAGGTTGTTGAAGCAAATATCGTCACGCAGCAAATTTGAATCTCCTCCCTTGTGGAAAAGCCACCTAATATCCTGAACCACGATTCATCAGCTTAGAATTCAAGAATATAATCCTCCCAATGTAAGTCGACGAACTGGGAGCATACTGTGTCCTACATGCTTACAGCATGCATGTATCTTTTGCGCAGCGCGCAGTGTCGGTTCCACTGAAAATTCATCCTAATAGAAATCCTTGAATGAATGGCATTCCAATGACGACGGCCATGAAGGTTGTGCATTTGCTGCTCCGACGGTGATTCGGTGCACTGGCTCAACAATCAGACTTTGAAAATTTGCTGTTGATCCCTGCGATGTATATGGACAAAAGAGGAAATCTTCGTACCGCACACGATAAGTTTCTACATCGGCTTGTTTGTGCCAAGCTTGTTTTGTTCAACGTTTCCGTGGTAATAAATCAGGAGACGACCTCGCTTGCCATTGGAGAAGGCATTTGATAATGGCATCAAGACATCACGAAAATAGTGAGTCGTGGTACAACATGATTTCATAGACTTGTACCACGGGAGGTTACGAAGTTGGATTTGTTCGCCGGCGAGGGTCTGAATGCTGTGCTATTCGTCGCAACTGTGAGGGTGTGAATTTAAGAGAACAAGGGTCAAGGGTAAAATTGGCTAGGGTACCGAAGGCTGTAGCGGTACTGTAATAACATGATGATGATGATCCCGAGCTGAAATGTCACCTCTTGATTCGTACACAGGAGACTCTAGATATTTAGAAGGAGGGAGACCACTTCTTTGGAAGAAACTTTGAGACTCGAAATTCAGTAGGCAAACTGATTTTGAGCACCAGGTTTCTGCTTGCCCGCACGTGGATTGCTCAAATTCGATTAAAATGTGATGTATTGGTATTTGATTCTTCGTGGTGCTGAAGATACAAGAGCAGTCCATGTACAACTAACTAAAATAAGTACCATAATACCCTTGTTACGGCACAAGGGCGGGGTGGAAGCGTGGAATCTGACCCGAGACGCCTTTCGCTAGTGACCCGATCATCCTAGCACCTCGCATACATCCATGGATATTCAAGTAGAACCTATAATTCTGCGTTTCCGTATCAGTAATATGCACCTAACAATGCAGTCGACGTATTCTTTGAGCTGCACATGCTGTGTTCCGCGGAGAGGACTCAGAATTCCTCAGTCGGAAGTGAACACAATCGTCGATTGACTGCCAGACGATACTCACAACTGGTACAAGAGGCCAACATATTTAGCATGGAAATGAGGAAACTGTATGCAAAGTCTGAAGTGGCCAGTAAGACGTCATTGACTTAGCTGCAGAAGCCTTGCGCTCCTGCAAGCTTGACAGTGAAAATGTTACATCATTGCCAATGATGGTTTAAGAAGCGACCAGCGGAGTTATAGTCAATCAAAAATTGGACCGTATTCGACATTAGCTGCTTAAATATATCAAGAATGAATCCGTGCCCGCTGCCAAATATGATATTTTCACGAAGTGGGGTTTGACCTCGATTGTTCTTCACTGCTGTATGGAATCGACTTCCGACTATGAACTTCAGGTGATTCGTGATGTTGGATTCTAAATCGACTTTCGGCTATTGGGAGTGCCACTGGAATGAATTAAATGCCACATTCTTAAATCCTTACTCATATTGGCTTCATTTCTGGATGGCTGCAGATGCGAGCTGGCTCAGATTTGCTGCACTCAAGCCGTGAAGTCTGCATAAGACACTTTGTTGCTAGAAGCCACATGCATTTCAATACAAATCTGCTAGATTGGCCCCCCATCGACAATGTCATAAGACTTTGAGCGGAGAAACACATCTTTTCCCCCATATGCTCCGCCTTAGAGAATCGAAGTATTGATGGTCTGGAAATTACCTTGACATTACCCAGAGTTCTAGATATTCGACGTCAGGTATTTATATCAACTCTTTTGTCTTTCTTCTTCTCAAAACCAGGAATTCCGCTCCCAATTTTCTCCCGCTTGATCATCAACAAGCTCTCATTCGCAGGTTGGGCATTCATACCAAGCATCTGACCAATACTCAGAAACTCATTTGGCGCTACACTTGCGAGAAATTTGCCCTGCATAACATCGCTCTGCTACCAGCGGGTAGGAAACGCATCTTCTACATCCTTCTTCCTGCCGGCGAGTGGAACAAAAAGTTCGAAGCAATGAGCGGACCGCGTGGATCGGGTGGAGGATATTACAAATACCGGTGTAAGTACTGGTTAATTTATAACTGCGGCAATTGGGTATGGGTGAATAACGAACCGTGTGCGAATTGTTTGGTATGTCAGTAGAGAGCTGTAAGCCCTTGCGTGCTAATATCAACTAGGCAATTGGAAGAGACGAAACAGTCATTTCACCATCCCAGTACCAAATGTCAAGGGATGTGTTTGTACCACAATTCAAAGACGGGAACTTACTCTATACAATGACGGAAATCGTCGCTTTGAGCGACTTTGACAACGGCTGGGTGATCAAGGAAAGGCAGAGTGCGGAATTTCCAAAATCAACGTCACCGACGATAGAAAAGCTCGAAGTGACCGAAGGCGCTACTGCCCTAATTTACAAAGAGCCAGTAGCACCGACACAAAAGGAGGGTTAGCATCACACACAGATAACGGATGCCTCTTCTCTTCACTTTTTGTTGCCCCCTCAGAGACTTTGTTTACTTGCCACGGCTCCTATATTGGTTTGGCATGAAAACATAGTCTGTTTGCTGTTTCTTCCTCGCCAATCGCGGCAGTCTTCGGTGGTTATCGGTAAGAATAGGAAATTTAGCGACATGACGTGAGCCTTTCTGCAATTTTCGCGCGAACTTTCAATTTGTGATGTTATCTTGTCCATCATCAGAAGCCGTTCAGTACCATGTTGGGATAACTTCGCGTGTCAGAAATCTTGTAATCAGTGGGATTTGGGGGTGGAAAGTGTGTAGTCCAGAACCTTAACGTCTATCAAATTACACAGCACAGTTTGTGTATTCCGAATTTCTGCAAACATGTAATCCTGTGTGTGTTTCTTGCCATTGGGCAGAAAGTCGAGAAATGAAGTGGTGATGCGGAATATGGAGAGGAGTTCCACAGCCTTGCATGACCGATACTGCAAAGTTCCAATGCCTGCCCTGCTGAATTTGAACCTTCCGTTTTCGAAGAGCGAATATCTATCCACTAACTTTGACGGTGTTCTAAATTCGGTTAGTGTTTGCCTTTCTTGGTGAACTCAGCATTCACTTATGAGAGCTAGTCACTTTGATTACCTTTTCCCTACAATCATTAGTAAATGAACTTTGAAAATGATACATAGTACTCAATTGCTAATAAAGACGTGTGGAATTAATCTTCAGTCTTGCGTTGGAGTTGTGGAAAGATGGAGATCCAAACAAGCTAAATCACGTGAGATCATGATGCTTGGCCAAGGTTAGTCCTTAATTAGTTAGGTTAAGGCTCGAAAGCTCGGCTAGTTTCGGTGTGATGGACGCAACATCACTTCATTCAAGCTTCGTTCGTTCGATTTTATTGTTTTGTTTTCTGTCCTGTATGGATTATCATAACCTCTTTCCTGGATTTTCTTTTCTTATCGTTCTTGACTTCCCCGCCTATGTATCATTTCATTTCATTTCTTTCCTCTCCCTCCCTGCCCTTCTTCTCTCTGTAATGCACTTTTATCTCTACGCTCAAGACAAAATGAGTTCCAAGGAATTTTCGAAACAATACCTAGTGATTTTTTTTGCGGTAGGGCTTGCAGTAGATTCTCATAACGGAGCTGGAGCAAGTGGGTTACTTGAGCAGGACTTGGAAGAGCGGCAATATCGATTTCGATATGTTTACTTGAGTTGCATCCTGATTTTTCACAAGTGCCTCATTGTTCCAGAAAATGACATTGATTGGGGATGTGGCCCATTTGGGACATTGCCATTTCCCAAACATACAAGACTGGGAGAAATGATCATGATCTGCCTTCAAAGATTCTTCATTACTTCGAAATGTAGATCGATGGACCGATGTCGAACATATGATCGCATCCAGCAAAGTCTTGGGTTTGGAGGAGGTTTTCTGATTGAACCCATTGTACATTTCTGCTTGGAAGGTATATTCATGACTTTTCACCTCTTGTTTGTGCACTTGTAGGGATAAGTATGTCAATTTTTCAATCATAAATATCTGGATAACTCTAATTGCTTGCTTGTTGGGCTCATGAGGTTCTCCTGATTGTTGTAATTTTTTGAGATCAAATTGAAGCTCTATTCTTGGTCCTGATCATTCCTCTTTCCCTTTGCTTTTTACCTCTTGCTGTGTTGGGTCAAACTACATTGCCTCGAGTAACTGCCAATCAAGGATCGTAGTTTCTCGCTTACTCAAACTGCAAAAAGTGCCTAGTATAGCGATTGCTTGTTCTGTCTATCAGTATACTGACTTCCTTTCCTTTCCTTTCCTTAAAATAATCACACCATCCTCTTCAATTCCAGCTTTGCTGCTATTGAATTCATTCATTCACATATCTTTGAATCTTACCCTCAACAGAGCGACTCTCTACCTCTCTGCCTCTTGCTAAACCCTTGTAAAAGTCTCATTATTTTCTTTTCAATCGTTTTGTTTCCATCTGGGTTTCAACTCTCCAGCTGTGTCAAAGAATTGTTTGCTCTTCACTTTTTACAAGTTGTGTCTGATTCTGAATTCTCCCACTTCCATTGTACCAGTAAGTAATGCACTGTTCAGCTCTAGATGGATTTCTCTGAAAGGGATTTGGGGAAGGTGCAAGATATTTCGCATAACATCAGAGAAGATTTAATTTTGCTGTTTGGATAAGAACTATCGCTATGGTAATTACCATTGAGCAACTTTAACATTATCGTCACGCCGAATTTCCAACACTCTATCTGGGAGGATGCTTTTAATTTACCCCGCTCTTCATCGGCCCAGCTGATTTGTTTTGAGATTGCATCTCATCCCATTTTCTCATTCACCTGAAGATATTCAATAACTGACTTCCCTTTTCTCTTTAGTTACAATTTTGAAAGAATATTTGAAGGACAACCCGCAAAACACAAACAACACAACTTGCGAATCCTTCGTGGAAGAAAAGATCAATTCTACCCTTCAATTCCAAGCAGTAATTCTTCCACTACACAACTTCAATAGATCGCAAATATTTTCACGCACACACCTACAACATCAGACCTTGATTTCATCTCACCCTTGTCGCCAAAAAGGAAGCTGAAGATCGATACCTACGGTGGTATTTGACAAGGCAGTTTATCAATTTCGCGCCATGGCTCTTCATGAAGATAACAACAGAAAGGCTTCTCACTATTCGATCGATCAATTGCTTGCTTTGAAAAACTCTCTTCCTGCCGTTGCTTGTATAGTCAACAATATTAACAAGCACCCTGATATTGGTAAGTATCTTCACCATCTTCTTTAATTCACCATTTCGCAATTACTAAACAAACTCTGCAGCTGCCATATTCACTCTTCCTGAGCAAGCATTTCGAAATCCCCAAACTTACTCTTGCTTGACTGCAGTTCTCTTGAAACAACAAAAGTACACACGCCCTGAAGGTACAACACGTCGTGGAGAATCTTCTTCATCCTCGTCTCAATCCATACGCAGTCAAGGAAGCTGGTGTCTTCGTCAAAATCCAAATTTTGAGTCACGCCGCACCTTTGACAATCAAATTCAACCACACTCTGCACCCACCAACGTGGCATTACATCAAGCTGAAAATTTTCGAAGATTTTACAGAGCCGTTGTTTCTCCAACCCACGTACGAGTCACTGCTGGTGGTCGCATAGTCCCAAACACCCGAGCAATGGCGCCTCCATCATTTGAGCCTACCAGTGATAAAAATTTCACGCAGTCTTCGAAGCAAATAAAGGATAGAGAAGAACTTGAACCCAGCCAGCATGCTGGTAGCATTGCAGGTGATTCTCAAGCATCTCTTATTTCTGTTGGCGCACAAGGTCCTCCTGGCTTTCATCCTGCGTTTTCTGGTTGTTTTCTGCCACCTTACGGTTATTTTCAGCAAGGCGTAGCAAATATGCCTGGACCAGCTTTTGGTTACCCAGGTCACAATCAGCTTCCTCATCAAGGAGCCAATGGCAATGACAGCTCATCCAATTCTTTGCAACCAGTTAGAGTCTCTCATCCTGGTCAGTTTGATCCTAATCGTCCATATGTAATGGTTAATAACCAACTGTGTTTTCCTGCCTCGGGCTTTCCTCAACATCCCAACGGATTTCCTTCCGGTTTGATGGGCAATCCAGCATTCGGCCCTCCTATTCCAGGCGGACCTCCAGGGCACCACATTCCACATCCAATCCACGGGCCCGTCCCATTTCCAATGCCGCCTGGCAACTTTCCTGTCCCCATGATGCAACACCCAAATGGTCAATTTTTCCCAATGATGCCACATCAAGGTCAAGCCCAACAAGGTTCTATGGCTTCAATGCCACCATTCCAATCCGCTTCCACGGAACAGATCCTTCAACAACATCGAGACCATCTCGTGATGCTTGAAGATCATATCTCTCGCCAATCATTGCAATCAGTTCCTTACTGGACGACTCAACGCCAAGTCCTCACGGGAGAAATCGCAAGATTAACAAGTCTACTTCAGTCTGAGCGCGATCAGCTACACAGTGTCAAGTTTGAAAGGCCTACATCTCAAACACCTATAGATTCTGGGAGGTCTCTAGATGCTCAGTCTACCAGCAGTGAGGTTCGCAGTCCAGTTATTGTTAGCTCTAACGCGAGTACCATCTTGCCCAGCCAGGAACCCTCGGTCGCTTATGCAAACTCATCAGCCCACACCACGCGAAGTGTCAATTCCCCAACTGTGCAGCGGACTACCACCGCTAAGCCTGGACCTGGCTCTAGATTGCCTGCTACAGCAGCAATGGCACCGCCATTCCAACCTCGTGGCTGCCGCTTAGATCTCAGCGCTGCTGAGTGGGAGGAGTTTGCTAGGGTAACTGATCCCCGTCCTGAGGGTCGAACGTCACCTCCAGCGACACCGGAAAATACAGCTCAAAGATTGGCTCGACTCATGGGCAATTGTCAGACTCGTTGGGAAGATTCTGCTGCTGGTTCAAGTATGATCAGTATGCCAAGATCTCAAACAATGCCTGTTACTCAATTACAGACACATGCAGCTTCTATGCCAGGATTTCAAAGAGCTGACACTCATCCTACCTCTGCCGCGCAGATGGCATCAAGTTCTTATGCCGGTGGTGCTAATACAAACGGTGCAAACTTCCAGCCATACGCCAGAGTGCATACTCAAAGCTTTGATCCCGAGAGGTTCCTCGCACAAAAAGAATACTTCGGCAATACAGCAAACAGCCTTTCAAATCATGGTCCCAATCGTCAAAACCCAAGATTTGAAGCAGGTAGACCGACGTTAACGCATACTTCGCCTGTTAATGGCAACTATAACAATCAAACCGCATTCACCACGGATGATTACCTAAACAAATGCCAATCAATGTTCCTTGATGCATCGACCGATTCAGCGGTGATAAAATATGCATCGTCATTTCCGAGTCCAACGGGGAACTCGGCTAGCCACAATACTCTGGGTTATCGAGCAAGAGTAGACGAGCCAAAACAACATTTTAATTTGACTACGCAGTCTCCTGTCAACGATTCTGCTACAGTTGATCGTAGAAACCTATCTGGCAATGGTGTCGAGAAATTTCATGAGATTTCTGCCGACGCTCAAGGTCTCGAAATCCTCGCCAATGTGTTCGCAAAAACTCCTGAAAAATGCTTGGGCTTAGGCAAACAATCTGCAGCACTCCAAGAACCTCAAAAAGACAAATCTGCATCCTCTCGCAGTTCTTCATCTGAGAAAACCGCGAATTCTGCTAGTAGCTCGCTCCCTGACTCGCAGCGATCTTGGTGCAATCTTCGGAGTCACAGGATCGAGCTGCATCGAATTCTCAAAATGAGCTTGTGCAAGCTGCAAAGAGTTCCATCGACCGTCAGCATACATCTGAAGATTTGGCTGTTATTTTTACTTCAAACGATGCAGATGGATCGGGACCAAAAAAAGGTCACAAAATTTGCTAGTACTCCCTCATTGACACGCAAAGACATTGGTGACATCTTTGCTTCCAATGGACCAGACAAGTCAGATTATTCTGATGTGGCAGAACAATCTTCAAGTCCTCTTGGTATGCGTCCACATGGGCCCAAGAGTTCGAGCAATGCCTCTGGGTTGAATGATTCACATGCATCGGCGTCCAAGCAAGTCTCGGATCCTACTGACAATATCTTATTAACACATAAGGACGTCGGTGATGTTTTTGCTTCAAATTCACCACAAGTACCACCGAATTACGAGACTGGAAACCCTGCCAATGCTCTACTTCATACTTCTGCGCATTTGGGTGATATATTTGCGTCAGATTCTCCAATAAAAAACAAACAACGTACCGTCTCGCCGACATTTATGAATGGAGACGATGTCTATGACAAGAAAAGCATTGGGTCTTGGACTCGACGTGCCGAGCATCGAGTTTCAACAAGTACTCAGTCAGGCAATGAGAAGGAGAATTTGATTGCCACTCCATCAACTCAAGATGGCTCTCCAAAGAGTAAATCTAGCTTCATGGAACGTATCCGAACCACAAGCAGGTATGTGAAACATGTTTCCTCGAAGGTACAATTTATACTGACTCGACTTTCTATAGTGTCGTACAGAAGAACCAAATCTTGAAGAATTTGCTAAACCTTCAACCCGTAGCTCATTCACCTGTTGCTGCACCTGTTCACGTCTCTTCGGCTAATGCTCAAGGTATTGTCCCACTTCAGAATCGAGGCTCTGCAGCTGCATCTCTAGCTCCTGCCATGGTCAATATGGCAGCGATCAGTAAATCTTCAACGGTCAGCTCACCACTAGGCATAGCTAGTCCAAGCACACCAGAAAATCGCTTACGTATTCGTCTTAATCAATCTTCTCAACGTTCTCCAGAGCATTTGGGAAATGAGGACTACCTTAATTGCTTGAAAGAAATTGCTCGCCACGCATCCATTAAGCGACGTCAATCCGAATTAAAATGATGTGATTTTGTCATATCTTGAAATTCAGAGTCTTGAGTCAGTACCGAAGTCTAAGATCTCGTATCCATAACTTCTGAAATAGCCACCGTTTCTTCATCCGCATGGCATGGTCAACCAGGGCTTTCTCGTCAACCGAGGACTTCATTATATCAACACGCTCTTCTTGTATTGATGGCACGCTCGCATTCGATACTAAATAGCTGAACTTGTATAAGAGGATTCAAACTCCACTTATACTATTTCTGACCTTTTGTATCTTTGCCCTTTTGCCGTTCACATTACCGCCTTTTGTTTTAATTATTTAGCCACAGACATACGCAAGTTTCTTTTTGTAGGATTATTTGGGCACAGAGCTTTTCTTTTGTCGCAAAATGAGATATAGCTTTCTTTCTCATAGTTGATACAAATTTGGTGGATGGTTTATGATTCATACGGTGGATAAGAACGAAACGAATGCGCGGATATTATGATCGTGCGAGGCTCTATGGTTTCTTTTCTGATACAATTACATTATTTGATTTTTCTTTCCTTTTCTTCCAGAAATACTATCAGTTAATAGTAATATTGATGTTTCAGTTGGTGGGGAGAGTACTTGCATCCTTGTTCATAGTTAAATAAAAATTCATCATATAAATCCTGGATGCATTGTGACATTATATGATAAGACAGAGTTCTAGAATTTGACTGCTCCATATAATACTCATCAGACATGGTTGCAATCACTAACTTTGGGTTAAGTACAAGAAATCTTCGCGCACTACTTCACACTCTAGAGATAGATCTTCCTTATCTCCACTCTCGCTTCTTTCTTAATATAATATCCTAATATACTTACTGTCTTATTATAATAAGATAATATAAGATTTAAGATATAAGATTTAAGATGATATTTTATCAAGGAATTAAAAGAATAAAAAGATAAATACATAGAGTTATATTGTTATTTAAATATTAATTTTAGAATAAAGGAAGTAACAAAAATAAAAATTACAAAAGTAGATTAATTATTTATAAGGAGAGTCAAGATATATATAATCAAATTAATATAGATTATGAAAAGTAACAATAAAGATACTTTTATTTATCTTCCTTTAATAAGAAAGAAAGAAAAATATATATAATAGTTTTTAACGTAACTTGACTAGAAGTGGGTCATGTCATGATATGGGTCACAAAAATCATATTTTCCTATTTGACCTTATCCTATATGCTACAGGGTGATCTACAACTATCACTGATCCAACTGAACTATCACTATCCTCTTCTTCTTCCATCTCCTCTTCTACCTGATCAATTTGACGCTTAGATGGTCTACCACGTCGTCGTTTTAGTAAAGGTGTCTGTTCAGCCTCCTCGATAATTTTCAATACTTTCTCAGTACTAAATACAAATTCACCTTTTAATTTTATTCTCTTTCCATTTTTTCGTTTCTTTCGTATCTCAAGTAACTCTTTATATTCTTGAAGTTCCTTTCGAAGAATAACATTTTCAGCATTTAAACTTTCAATCTGATGAGTAATTCGCTTTGCATATCTCTGTACTGGAGAAGTAGGCAGATTATTAGCAGATAAAGCTGAATTGAATATCTGATTTGCTTGTCGTAGCTCAATATCATTTGTGGGAGAGCTATTAAGTAAAGAAAAATCTAGATCTTCTGGATTTGATGTTGACCTCCTGGGATCTTGGCAGCATATGCATATATAGTACATATGCATATAAGGAGCAAACAAAACTCAACTTTTAATTCATTCTTTCCTTTTTGGTATACTGTTTGTTTGCTTTCAATATTTTGATTTCAAAGCACTTTAATTCCGAAGGCCGAATACCCAACCTATTCCTTCATTTTTTTGAATATATGCTCGCAGCTTAACTGCTTAGCTAGAGAATCAATCAATTCAATCCGATACTCTTTCTGGTCCTAAGAAACCCAACA